TCGTTACATTTCGCCGACAATTGTAAGCCTACATATTATTATACGGGGACGAGATACAAAGAACACACAAATTATGCAGAATGACTGACAAAAACATTGACCAATCACATTTCGTACATTACGTCACGTGATTTGGTTTGTTTACGAGACGAAATCGTAAGTTCTCGAAACTATATTTAGATAGAAGTTATTCTTGAACGACTTCTCGTTGACATTGATATACATGGCATGACTTGTATTATGCATTTTATGATTTTATGTTTACCGGACACGATGACCGGCAGCATTTGAATTTATCGGCCCTGGCCCATTTTTACCAGCAAAAAGCCGGCATATGCCGGAGAACGGAAACACTGCACATGATGTCCATACGAAATGGTTTTGTGAATTAAAACATGCGAAGTGTGCGGCGTGGGTGTGAAATGCCATTATCATCATTGCAAAGCCCACGGAGCGGACGTGGTACGAGGCATCTCATCTACTTGACGAAAAGAGACTATCTCAACTAACGCTACCGACTGCTCAGAATAAAAATCTAACATGCATCACGAAAATCGCTTCTTCTTTTTTTTTAAAGTCAGTTGAAAGTTTAACTATCCAACGTATGGATGGGGTTGGTAACATTTAACAGTGAGACATACTTCGCACACCTACAAACTACTAGAGATTTTGACTTCACAGCCGAACATAGCGATGAAAATCCTATTAGAGATTTGACTTCACACCTGACTATAGCGAACAACCTATTAGAGATTTGATTTTGCATCTGAATATAATTATTTTTTCATTTAAAAAAAGTTTTTCACACATTGATATAGCAACGATGATTAACGTTTGAGAACTGAAAAGGTTCGCCAAAAAACGTGGAGTGATCGGTTATTCGCGTTTGAGGAAACCTCTGCTGCTGACATTGCTCGGCATGAAAGACAAACCTCCTCAACCCACGGTGAAACAGCTCAAACTCCGAGCGAAGGAGCGTGGGCTCAGAGGTTATTCGCGCATGAGGCAAGCTGATATTTAGTTCCTGCTGTCGTCTCTAGACAGTCTGGTGAACGCCAATGACACTGACGACTTCGACATCACCAATTGATACACCGACGCCGAGACTTGACCCCTGCTGCTGAGGAAGGGCATCTACCCCCATGAGTACGTGGACGATTGGTCTAAGTTCGACGAGATGCGATTACCTCCCATCGACCGATTCCAATATCTCTCAAGAGGATTAAGCGCACGCGATTAACGTGTGGGACAAACTGGGCTGCAAGAATTTGGGCGATTACCATGACCTGTTCTTGAAAACGGACATGCTGCTGCTGGCTGACATGTTTGAGATATTCAGAAAAACGTGCTTGAAACAGTACGACCTGGACCCTGCGTGGTATTTCTCATCCCCCGGTCTCTCTTGGGACACCTTGTTGAAAAAGATCGGCGTGGAGCTGAAACTCCTGACGGATTATGACATGCACCTGTTCGTGGAAAAAGGCTTGTGAGGCGGGATTTCCATGACCTCCAAACGATACGCCAAAGCCAACAACAAGTACCTTCCCGGTCACGACCCCGGCAAACCGACCAAACACATAGTCTGTCTCGACGCCAACAACCTGTATGGCTGGGCCATGAGTCAGTATCTCCCCACCGGGGGATTCGAATGGGTATCCTCGCCCAAGATGATTGACGTGAATAGCATCGCGCTGGATTCGAACAAAGGCTACATGCTCGAAGTGGACTTGGACTATCCCGCAGAACTACACGAATCACACAACAGCTATCCGCTAGCTCCCGAATGATTTACGGTGAAGCCGGATGGGATGTCTGAATATCAACGAAACTTGCTGGGAGACAACAAGCTGGCTAACGTCAAAAAACTCGTTCACTATCGCAATCTGCAGCTGTACTTGTCGCTGGGAATGAAACTCACGAAAATACACAGGGCGATCCAGTTCGATCAAAGTCCATGGATGGAACCTTACATTCGGTTGAACATGAATCTGCGAAAACAAGCCACGAGCGACTTCGAAAAAAACTTGTACAAGATCATAAACAACTCGGTGTTTGGCAAGACGATGGAGAATTTGAGAAAACGCGTTAACGTGAAATTAGTCAGAGACAGTAAGGAAGAAAACCTCAGGAAACTCATAGCCAGCCCGGCGTTCAACCGAAGCAAGATATTCGACGACGACTTGGCAGCGCTGCACATGAACAAAAGCCACATCAAATCCCAGTTTACGTGGGGATGAGCATCCTCGAATTATCTAAACACTTGATGTACGATTTCTACTACAACGAGCTGAAAAAGCAGTACGGCGACAGGTGCAAAGTTCTGTACACGGACACAGATTCCCTGCTGATGGAAATTCACACCGAGGACGTGTACGAGGACATGAAGAAACACATGCACCTGTACGACACCAGCAACTACCCTAAAGATCACCCTATGCACAGCCAAGTCAACAAAAAAGTGCTCAGCAAGATGAAGGACGAATGCGCGGGCACGCCGATCGCCGAGTATGTCGGCTTGAGACCAAAGATGTATTCCATCAAGAAAGCCAACGACGATGAAAAACCGAAAGGCAAAAGGCATAAAAAAACGTGGTGAAAAAAAAAAATCAAGCACACCAGATTCAAGGAAGCCCTGTTCAAGAAAAAAACATTCAAACATCAAATGAACATGCTGAGAAGCGACGGACACAGAATATATGGACTGAGAATCAACAAGACCTCGCTGTTTCCCATGGACACGAAACGATCGATCGCCATCGACGGAATGTATACTTACGCGTACGGACACAAACGCGTATCGAATAATTGAACTCTTACGCACACATGCGTACATATATCATGGAGAAAATTTATTACAGCCCTCGAGGGTACTGGAAAGGCGCGGACGCCATCCCGAAACTCGCCAAAGCAGCTCGAGTCTCGGAAGAGAAAGCCAAAGCCTGGCTTAAAAACAAGCCATCTGGCAAGTCTACCTGCCGTCGCCTCGGTACATCCCGAGAAGAAAATTCAACATTTCAACGCCTAATCGCGTCCACATAGCCGACCTCCTGTTTCTGCCTCACGACAGGGTGAGGCGCAAAACCTACAAGTACGCCCTGACCGTCGTCGGCGTCGCCAGTCGCTACAAGGAAGCCGAACTGTTGACAATGAAAGATTCAAACGAAGTCGCCAAAGCCTTTGAACGCATATACAACGCAGTCACTTGACATGGCCTGCCGTATTGCAAGTCGATCCCGGATGCGAGTTCATGGGAGCCGTGTCACAGCTGCTGGCCAAGCACAAAGTCCAAGTGAGACGAGGTATAGCGGGAGCTCACCATAGCCAAGCCATCGTTGAAAGATTCAATCGCACCAATACTCACAGGATTTAATGGATCCCGGAAACACGGAATGGGTCGTACGCTTGCCACGAGTGGTGGATGTCATCAACAATGAAGTCGCCAGACTCGTGGGCAAGAGACCCGTCGAAGCCATCAAAATGAAATCTGTCGAATCGTCGTTGGCAGCAGCACGTCGCGATAAAACAGAGAAAACATTACTGGACCGGGTCAGCGTTAGGTACTTGTACCAGCCGGGAGAATACGAGGGAGAAAACGAGCCACCGATCAGATATGGTCCATAAAAACAACATCAAAGACGGCGAACCAAACTTGTACTACTTGAAAGACGGACCGTCGAGAGCATTCGTCAGAGAGGAGTTGATGATCGTACCTCACGACACAGTCCCTTACACATCACCCACCGTGTGATGATAGTTTCTTGTCATGATTTTTTATCAGTCTTGCATGCCTATTTTTCTGCTTAATGTAGCCAGCCACCCAGCCACCAAGCCGAGAGAGGCACACGCACTGCGACTCGTCTGCCAACAGCGCTCAGAGGAGCAACCATTCCCGAGGCGACCCGAGCCTTTTCCCGACCGACCCCATGCTCACTTAAAAGTCAAATATTTCAGAAACTATGCGACCGATTTTCATCATATTTTGCATGCACCTCAGTAATAGTATACACAATGGGGCTACGGGATGTAGCCAGCCAGCCAGCCACCTGTACACCAAGCCGAGAGACACATGCACACGCACTGCGACTCGTCTGCCAACAGCGCTCGGAGGAGCAACCATTCCCGAGGCGACCCGAGCCTTTTTCCCGACCGACCCCATGCTCACTTAAAAGTCAAATATTTCAGAAACTATGCAAAAGATTTTCATCATATTTTGCATGCACCTCAGTAGTAGTATACACAATGGGGCTACGGGATTAGGGAGGGACCTGGTCCCGTAGCCCCATTGTGTATACTACTAGAGATTCTGTATGGTATTGTGATCATCTATGCCAAAGCTGTCATCTGGGACACATGCCTTTTACCTTGCAGTATGCCTCAAAGCTCTTCCACTTGTGATCATAAAGAGAGCAGGTAGAGGTGCAATGAGCTGCATGTAAGTCCCAATAAAAGAGAAAGCATCTCTCAAAGACAGGACATGTACACCCTAAGGTGACAAGAGAAGAAAGACAGATGGAAGTCCGTAGTCGACCAGAGCATGACACGCCTATTGCATGAGCTGCCTACAACAATAGCTAGAGATGGGATGTGTTCAGGCAAGGAGTTGGAAGAAAAACTTGTATCAGTATATATGCAGGACCAGTCACTAGTAAATTACATATACAAGTGATTTGATACATTATACACTCCAAATCGAAAGCTCATTTCCCTTCTAATAGATCATAACTGTATGGCAGAGATATTGCTACAAGCTCACTTTATTAACTTGCAGGGATGTTTTAAGGGTAACATGTCTCAGTTGGCGCTGATCTTCAGTAGGTTAGACATATGAACAGGATGCAACAACCATGATGATAATAACTGTAATCTTGTAATACAGTTGCTGTTTTGTCTGATAAGAGTCGAACTTGTTGGACCCTGGTAAAGGTCATATATCTGTGTTAGTCTTCACTGATTCTGACTTCATAAGATGTTCTCAGATCAGCATGATCTTTTGTTTTCAGTTTCTGCGACACCCGGCCTCTGCATCAGATCGGAAAAATCTGGCATGTGACTTGGTGTGCTTCATAGTGCTCACACCACTGACTGTGTGCAGTGCTTTTCTGTGTTTGATGGGGGTAAAACATTACTCCCAGTGGAGTGGGCAGTGGGAAGTTCCTGGTCTAGCTTCACTGACTGCCTGTCTTCTCACAGTTTATACAATCTGGTGTTGTGTAAGTATGTTCGTCATCAGCTCTGTTGATCATGTGGAATTGTCACTTCTGCACCAAGAATGTAGATAATGACACATAAGGTAACCAAGGTGGTCATATCTGGTCAATGACACAATAATAATATTTAGATTATTATGACTAAAGATTTCTTAACTAGACTATTTGAATGAAAGACATTTAGAAGTTGAAGGAACATGAATACACAGCATGTTTTATGGATAACAACTTCTATCTATTCTCTAGACGAGGTTTCAGAACTAATTCTTTGTCCTTCACCAGGTGAATGAATAGTTCTGAAAAATCGATAGCCTCGCATTTCATAGCATTGTGTAATATGATGTTTCAATAAGTGCATGAAGAATATCATCTCATAGATGTGAAATGAAGTGGGGTTGAATGTCATGTTGAAGATCTTATCAGGCTATGTAGCCTTGTTCAGGCCCGTGTATATGTTTAGGTGCTTATAACAGTCTGGACTAAAGCCAGGTAGTTTTGTAGTGCTAGGCCATTAAGATACCATGCCATACTTCAAGATAGACACCTCACAACTTATAAACTTCCTAGTACTGGTTTTATCCTTTTAATGAGTGTCAGGAAGTAACACAGAAGTGTGCAGAAGATGACATTTAGTCTTGCCTATTCTTACAATTCAGCATATTGCTGACATTAGTCGCATCAGTACAGTTCATCTTAAAACACTCACTGCAAAATATGTACCCAGAATGTTGATGCCATATCAGAAGCAGACCCTTCGAGGGTAAGTCAAGCAAACATCCCAACATAAATTCCTGACAGCAGAACCTGCCAGTGAGAGCTGCATTCCGGTAGTTCTCTTGTTGACAAGTATAAAGAAGGCGAGAACCGAACAGACTCAGTGGGAGAAATTAAACCTGGAGGCAGTAGCTGATCACCTACATGATCACATGATCTTTTTCCCTGACAGCTCTGGACATGGGGGCAATACCAGCTGTTTCCTAACCTGCACAGGTCAGTGAATAGTGGCCCAGTGCACCAGTAGTGTCTTACATCAGTGCTACTACTGGGCCTGGATCACCCACTGTCAGACCTCCAAGCTCATCCACATGTATCTTTCCTGGGACTGGCACCCTTCCCGGAATTGACGCTTACCCTTGGATTGACACTACCTCCAGTGAAGGTAGATCAGCATCATTTGCAGTGAAATGAGAGGACCTTTAGCCAAGAGCCAGCTGCTCATTTTTGTGGTTGAGGCCAAGGCATAATGTAAAGATCAATCTCAAGACAGGCAAACCCTAAGGCTGGCTATGATGGATCATAAAGTGACTTACTTGCTCCTGGCCCTTAACAAGTGGATTCAGGTTGTCCTGGACGAGTGGACACCCCTGTAGATGATATACGTTTAAGATGCAGGCAAAATTTGCAACAAATAATAAAAGACCTGTGGGTCATTAGTAATCGAAAGTTTGGGTATTGTCTCAAGACACCATTTGTGCCATTTACGCCAAGGATCATGGTGTTTAGTTAGCCACGAACATTGATGTTCTCCTGTAGGTGTGTGAGAATCCATCTAGGCCAGGCATGCTCGAATATTTGTCCAGGATATATTTCCCACTAAATGAGAATTCAGTTTGGATTCCATTGGCTGCATGGGTATTTACAATGTTCACATGCTTAGCCAGGGGCTATCAGCCTCAAGTCCTTCAGACAAGTGTATCCTTTATGACAAGGGTCACCAGGTCCAAAGCACATCACTTTCTTCAAAACACAGCTGTTGTGTCAACCTGGAGCAGAGCTACAGATAACTTTTGGGGTCATTGAGTTATGTACTCGCTTGTGTTCATCTCAATTGGGTATCCTAAAATTTTCCTTTGAGTAACCAAATATATTGTACCCACCCCACTCAAATGTAATTGGGTATTTTGCCATTTTCCATTAATTGTAAAAATATATTAAAGTTTAAAGGTTGGTTTACGTGTTTGTTATTTATATTTGATCTGCTATATGAGAAACGATAAGAAAGACTGCAAGTTGCCATGTCCAGGTGCTGAAATAGAAACTCTCAATATACCTCAGTTAGGGACCGTTCATAATTTATGGCTAGGGGGGTGATGATGATTTTTATGGAGAAGCATGTACAATGTGAATGACCCCCCCTAAAATTGATGTACAAAATAAGTGACCCCCCTGCATGTCATGTACAAAATCAATTACCCCCTTCCCCTTCCCATAATTTCTAAGCATAATTTTAAACATATTTTTATGTACAAAATTGCTGACCCCCTAGTACGTGTGTACAAAATTGCTGACCCCCTAGCTCCCCAGAACAAACTGGGTGACCCCCTTAAATTCATCATCACCACACACACACACACACACACACACACACACACACACACACACACACACACACACCACCATAAATTATCAACGGTCCCTTATTTGATCTATTTTTGTTTGTACGCATGTAACATCAAATCTATTGAGTATTTACAAAAGTTGAAGCGTACTTGTACGCAATAGACTTAATAGGAATTGAGTTTTCACATAAATATTTGCATAATTTACGCAGATACGCAGCTTATCTGTACCTCTGCTGGAGAACACCTTCCTGCATCCTAATGGATGTGATGCACACACTAGCTAGGGAAAAAGAAAAAAGTTCACCTGATGCAAACAAATAGACCTCTGAAGTAAACCAGTATTAAATGTCTCCTTGTAGAATTTAGAATTATGTAATACTACTTAAAACTCTTTTGGTCAGCAGTGTTATGTCCACAGACATATATTTGTCTGCATCAAACTCAGGAACTCAGCTGTTTTTGCACAACTTGCCTATTTCAGGTTGCTGTTAAACACCACATCCAAGTTGTGACAGACTGGCGAAAGAAGAACCAGATCATCAAAATCATCTATTTGTCACCTACCAAAGGAAAGACAGTGTTGCATACCGAGACTGTCTGTGATGTTAACAACAATGCCAGGTCTCCCGCACAGACACCGATATCCCACAGTGCCAACACTCCTCGCAGCTCACAGTGTCGAGAACTACCCCAGGACACTCCCAAGTCCTACAACACTGCGATGCTGAAACCTATTCTGAAGTATTCTGTTAATCTCCAAGCTTACAGTCATCCCTCTGGACTAGACACAACTGGTGCATCAGTTTCTCACACCATTTTGTGGGGGGGAACTGATTCTATGGAATGCAGTTCTAACCCCATCATGATAACACGAGCTACTAGTTCACAAATGATGGCTGTTCTTGGCAAGGAGACATATGTTTAGCAAACTTTGATTTGATTATAAATTTATATTCAGCAAGAAACAAAAAGCAGATAAAAAATTATGACAAAAATGTTTTTGAATTGATATGTATTACAGGACAGTTGCATGTTGAAAATAACACTAAAATGTCAAAAGAATTGTATTATTGCCATGCTTCAGCCAAGTTTGACAAAACTGAGAGAGTTGAAATATTAAGACCTGTTTACTCATCAACATATGAATAGTTATACATTGTGATTGCAATTATTTGAACGTTTGCTTTTTCCATATTTGTTGCAGAAAATATAGTAGCAATTGTTTTGCATTCCACTTATACATTATTTTCTCACTTGTCATAAAATATTCATATTTGTATTGCATGTATATATACAGTGTTACAACAATGACTGTTGAGTTGGATGACTGGCTGTTATAGGAAACATTATGTCTTCACGTTTGCTTATTTACATCTATTTACAAGATGATATTTCATAACATAATCCATTCTCAACAGTTCCACATCATCATTATTGTATAGTCTAATTGTATATGAAAAGTTAAAACGGACATTGTCTCAACCTGAAATTAATCTGTGATACAGTTTTGCAATGCTGATAAACATTCTGAATCTGTGATACTTGTTTCTACACAAGTGTATATTATTTGACATATTCTTGAAAACTCTGCACGTTTGTATTTATTTCAGCATATGTTTACAATTGTTGTTCAAATCTAGTTTGATAACAATAAATTGGTCAAACTTTCTTTTGAGTCCTATTTGAATTATCTGTGGAATCCTATGCTATTCTTGTTGGTTCACAAATAACAACATATTGTAGGCAAATTGTACAGAAACTCACAGTATGTGAATGTGTATCAGATGCCATTTATCTTCACACCCATAAACATGCACCATTTCAGCATCAACATGATGCATATTGTCTTTATTCTTATGATTGCAATGGCACGTTAATACACAACACAAAAGTCATGAATGACGTCATCATCCAGCTTACTACTTTTCTCAGTGTGACATTTCAGTTGAACCCTTGGAATGTCAAGGCAATGATGATAATGTAAACTAGATGAGATCAAAGAACATTTATTTAGCACTCCAGAGCATAAATTTGCAACACAGATGTAGGTAATATGTCAGATTGGTTTCTTACCTACAGGGATGTCAAATATCAAAATCCTTGATTGTAGGGAAATAGATAGATGAATCTGAAACTGTAAAGTGTAACCCACATACAAGCTCATGCACATCCCAGTCACAGAAGACATACACATAAATATCTTACCCTGCAAGACACTGGTCTCATGAAATAGTTCTATTGTTGAATTTATCCAGTGCATCTTGCAAAGCATTTATATCAGCCTTGTGTTTCATGAGAAACTCTCCTTCAAAATGAAACACTGGGATATCATAGCGATACTTTTTGAACCACTCCTTGTTAGCCGGCTCGGTGATGTCAACTTCCTTCAGTGTAAACTGCAAAGAAAATGAGGTTGTTCTTTAAAGATTGAAGTGAATTGCCAGGCAAAACCAGGCATGTTAGCAACTGGATTTTTAACCGGTATATTTAAACAATTATGTCCATCATAGCATCAGTCTAAGGGAAAAGAAAACATGACATGCTATTAACACATTAAGAACCCCTGAATATTTCAGTCTGTTAACATTACATATGGAATCAAAACTAGATCATCAAATACATCCTTGTACATCTGTAAAAAAGTACATTTTCATTATGTTAAAGTAGAATATTGATTAAAGAGAGTGCGTGAGTTTGGTCAGTGTATGAAATAAGCCATAACCCCAGCCAGACATCAGGGCTGGTAACTTCAAAATGTTACCAGTCCAAAATGGATTCAACCAGACCAGACACCAAATATGACTCGGATGCATATAACATCTAAATTTTTACCAGACCATCGGGCTGGCTAGCTGTAAATGTAGACCGTCCGTCTGAAATATAACCCATCTCGGGCGTTGGATGGGCCTTATTTCATCCACTGGTTAGGTATAATGTTCCTTTTAAACAGTATTCTTGTTATATCACAGCATGCCAGCTTGAAGTTGGGAGGAGAGTTTTAAGTGATGCAGGTCTTGACATTTACCATTTTGATACAAACTGTGAGCATTGTTGTCCTGCTGACAAATCTATAAACCCAATGGGGGCGAATCCAGGTGTAAACCCCTGATAAATATTTTCCGGCTTGCCCAAGGGATGACATAACTCTGCTCAGGGGGTTGCAGTGCCTAGGACAAGTTCCACATTGATTATATTAGAGAGATCAGGAGCTTTACATGTGTCATGTCCAAACCTGATGTGATAATGGTTCCAGTTCTCCCTTGGCATCATCACATAAAGAGCAGGGGTGTTTGGTGTACAATGTGAGGATTGGCAGCTGTTGGCTGGAATCAGAAGCAAACCTCCAAACAAGTTGGTTGTGCCAGAGTGAGAGTGGTTGCAGGCCATTTCTTGGCGTGAGAGATGTTCCAAGCATACATCTTGCAAGTGCCAACGGAGACGGGTACAACAGATGTCTCATCCTAAAACCTCTTTCATTCAGGTCTGAGGTTACCTGTAATTTGTAAACATTTGTGTTATTTTACAGTCAAAGGTTTTCACACAAGACTTATTATATGGTCCTAGCAAAGACGTACAGACAATTTACGTCTTTGGACAACTCAACTCAACTAGTGTATTGTTGGTAAATAGAACACTGATTTTCCTGTGTAGTGTGTCGTGACATCACCATGAAAGGGTACCCATCTAAAAATACATTTCCAAATATCAGAAACTGTGAAATATACAACTGCAAGATTACAAGTGAGACAAAGCGCGTCTGGTATATTGCCATCTGTCATATCACGAGTGATTTATTTAACTGACAACTTTCAGTCACAGCAATAAAATATGCATTCGTAAGGTACCGGTCAGGCGCAGCGATCATAAAACCGGAATGAAAACAAACACACGTGTCGGAATTGACTTCCGCCGGATAAACAGCTATGCGCATGCGTACGTTATATTTACTGCAGTGCAGACGCTTCGGCATGACAGCTGACTGAGATATAGAATAATGCTATTAGGATATATCCTGTAATAGTGTCAAGGACGGATACTACGTACGTACAGTGAGACAAATGGGTAGTCTTTTGTTCATTACATACTCAGGTGCCATATATGTTGTTTTGACATGTAATCTATTATGCAGAACCTAAAGAACATCCTTCACAACTTAGATAGCACGTAAAGTATTTGGTTAGCAAGACGGGGGAGTTTTCAGAACATATATTCGGAACAATGTTTAACATTAATGTGACTTGTGTGTAAGCATGTTAAGGCCACACTCATTTCGTAGAAGAAATGTTAGTATAGTTAAGAAAGAAAATGATTGCATTCTTTTCCTCTGGATGGAAATAAAACGAACATAAAATCTGTAAATAAGTGTTCGGCTAACCAACAAAATTGATTTCTCATATTTTCATTTCTGATGCCATGAAAATGGTTTGTCCCATATAATTTCCCCATTGATCAGTTATCCACTGAGCTAAGTTCTATTTTCTCAATATGGATATACGCTGTATCCACTGAGCTAAGTTCTGTTTTCTCAATGTGGATATCCGAAGATAACATGATAAATTCTGTTCACTTTATGTATTATTTTGAGGGTTATTTTTGTACTCTATCATATAATGGTAGACTGTTCATATGTTTTAGTTTAGTGCTATGTATTCCTGTCTTTTGAAGCACATTCACTTTCTTTGATAATATCATTCTCAGGTGATCTATCACATGCTTGAAGATGTCTGCAACACAACAAATCAAAGTAAAGTGGATTGAACACTTTAACTCCAGTTGGGTGTCAGAGGATTGTGAATCTATTACAACAGAAGAAGGTTTACGAGAACTTTACACAAGGTTAGAATCAAACAAAGAAGTTCAACCAGTTTCACAACAAGCCATACACCTTAGAGGACCCACACTTCCTGATTTCGAGAGAGATGCATTTTCTCTGGATGAACAAGAACATCTGTTGAATACACTTCGATCAAGTCAGCTTTTTTTAGCTGAAGTTGTTTGTAGTAACACACCATTTGCACAGAAACTCCAGCAGAGACTGGTCATCCTACAGAGAGTATATCATGCAGTATCCAGTAAATATCATGATAGACAAGGGCTCAAGCCTTGTAAACAATCTGATTCTGGAGACCAGAATTGCAATGAATCTAGAAATCCATCACTTAGGTTTGTGACGGGTAATGAAGCTCTTATTGAAATGGGAGTGAAAACTGGTCTTAGTTTGTTGTTTTCATTGTTGAGACAGAACTGGAATCTTGCAGGACAATCTGGTCAGCTTTCATTTTGTAATGATGTCCTTCAAACAGCTGTAGACATTGTAACATCACTCCCGCCTTTGTCTCTAGCAAATGAGACAAAACTGACTCCTTTAGGTGTTGACTCCTTGAATCAAGTGACAAGGTTTCTGTGTTCTGCTGCCAGTCCCTCCTCAGGGGCAGATAACTGTGGTCAGAGACTTGCATCGGAATTAATGCTATTGTTAGCCGCTCAAAGGGGCTCACTTCGGTATCTCTTGGAATGGATTGAACTGACTCTTCAAGTGTCATCTGCAGCTCAGATTGAGCAGAAACGAGGGAACCAGGGCAAACATGGCTTGATTTCATGGACATTCTTTGAGACAACCCTTCAACAGATGAAGAATTCAGCTGTATGTTATAATATATCTTTACATTTAAACTAATTACTATGGTTTCTAATATGTTTGTGTGTATGTGAGTATTATTGCACATGTTCTAACCACTTTATTTTCTCTCCAACATGTTTATTTTATATATGTAGATATGATAAGTGTAATAATAATGTTTTAGCTATGTAGATATGATAAGTGTAATAATAATGTTTTAGCTACAGGACTTGCAACTGCGTTTGTTTTGGAAGTACTTCATTTGCATGATTTAGCTTGTTAAGACTTGTTATTGTGAATGTATTTTACATGTTTCAGGGAGGTCCCACAAATTTTGAAAGGAAAACAAAGCCTGATCGAGATGAAGCTGGCCTCACTGCTATGTATGAAGCTGGTCTTCTATTACTGGAGGAGGTATTTTCAATTCCTCTTTATAAACCACATGTTTTGTAATGTGTTTACAAAAGCATGTTAAAGTCGTAAGTTTTTATGAAGCTTCTATTTTGTTTGTGTAGAAAAACGCTTGAATTTCATTGGTGAGCATTAACAAAAAAGATATTCTGTCCATATGTACAAGAGACCTTGAGCCATTGTATGCTTTATTGACATGGATCTCCCTATTACTTGAACTTCACTGTTTTAAACATGTTTATTGTTAGGAGATATGTCCTGAACATGACAGCCCCACAGACCTGTTAATTCAACATCTGGTGCTTAAAAGTTGGCAGCCATTTTCAGTTTGTGCAGTATCAGCCCATGTTTCACTACATTGTCTCTTGTAGATTACAGAATGGGACAAGTATCCTGTTATGTGTATCCCTAACCCTCATAAATGCCTCTGACCTATTCCATTCATTTTGGCAGCAACTTAGGCATGACTTGAGAACTTTTCACATCAGTGTAGTGTGTGGATGTACCTCAGTTGGTTAGTTGTCAAGCAAGCAGTCCCAAAGTCACAAGTTTGCTTCCCATGGATTCTCACAACACTGGTTTCTTGTCAATCATGCTTATGGCACATATTGTCTGAAGTTGTAGTGCTGTATTCTGAAGGCACGCCTACAATTTTATACTTTGATGACCTATTATTGAAAAAATGTGGTCAGTTCTAATTACTGGGTGGATGTAAAATTTAAAACACACAATAATCTTACACAAAATCATCCATTTATGCAGTGAATGCTCCCTACCAAAACTGCTTGTTAAACTACCCATTCTGATTTGATGTAGTATAACCTGTACATATTGGTGCAATGTTCATGGCATTATTCAATGCTGTTGTAGTTGCAACAACTCGCTGAGGAATATGCCAATAGCAGTGCTGGACCTGATGAAAATAGGAACAGCCCTGCTAACAATGCCTTGACTGGATCCGCCATCTCTCCCCAGCCGTGTGATGTGTATGTGTGGGGCAGCAACAGTAGCCACCAGCTGGCAGAGGGCAGTCAGGAGAAGATACTCACACCCAAACAGGCCTCATCATTCAGTAACTGTCAGCAGGTACACAAGGTTCTGTTTTTTTGCCCCAATATTAATATTAAATCTTGCTAATTGCTACATTAGATATGTTAAAGTTTAGATGTAATTTTTCTTAAATAAGTATTTATTGTATGAAAATTGATGAAATTTAATAAGATAGAAATAAGATAACCCATGTCAAATCTCTTTTCCTTAAGTAAATGTAATATATTCTGTAGATTGAAGCTGGGCAGTTTTGCACATTTTTGATCCACAATGATGGGTCAGTGAGTGCTTGTGGGAAAGGAAGCTATGGCAGGCTTGGATTGGGCGATTCTAACAACCAGGCCCAGCCTAAGAAGCTCAGCTTTGAGCCAAAGAGAAGGATGAAGAAAATCTCCTCCTCCAAGGGATCTGATGGTCACACACTTGCTCTGTCTGTTGAAGGGGAAGTGTTTAGCTGGGGAGATGGTAAGTGTTCACACTTAGAAATGAGTATCCTGACTGCATATTCATTGAGTTCATATGGAAGTTCGTCACATGATCATATCATGTAAAGATTATCAAACACAGTAACAGTAAGATATGTTGATGTTAAACCTCTGAGTTACCTTGGTAACATACAAATGTTTAACTAATCCTGCACTACTTACTTCCTGCACTTATCATGCTTATTGCTTACGGCTCGAAAAGCGTGGCTTGCCAGACGATGTTAAAAGACATAGAACTGCAATCACTTCCTGGTCTCGGCTGCTACTCGTCTGCGTATGCATCACCGGAAGGTGACGTCAGCCACCTCAGATTATTGCTTTTCGCACGCCTTGCTAAACGTGTGGGTTGCCAGCTGTTCATTGTATCCTACAGGAGTTTTTGTGTGTGGTTAATAAACTGACTTTGTGTGTATTCAGATTTTTTTCTTCTACGAGAAGTGTAGGTATTATCTTTCACTTTCTCTTGTTATTTTAGTTAAGTAGTTCTGTTTAGTGATGTCATTCGTTTATAACACGGTCCCGTCATCACTCTATCACTTCACCATTACAACACTTCGCCGTAATTGTAGTCGTTGTGTTTTATTTGGTTCAGGCTTATACATTATACCATACAGTAGAGGTATATTTATTATGTCTGTATTATGGTCTCTTTATCATTCAGTTCTTTGAGACTTTGTTCTCAATTATGCTGTTGTATTCATTACCATTGTATGTAATGTTTTATGTGCGTTTACTGGGTTTTCTGCTTTATTGCAGATCCATGTACAGCGCAAGTTGTATACATTGTAAGGGTGGGAAGTCTCGTAAAGCACCTCATCCCCGATGTTTGAATTGTACCAATCAATGTTCCTTTGGCCATAAATGTGCCAGCTGCACTCTTCTTTCACCCAAGAGTTTCACCCAAGCGCCTGGGGCAACAGAGACGGAAGAATATGTCTTTTACTACGACGCCGGTCTTGACGACCGCTACATCTACATCCAGTGTTGCTGTGTCCACTGTTTCTCCAAGTGCGTCTGTCACCAGCATCCGGGTGATGACCTCGCCTCTTTTACAGCGTTTGGCGCTTGGCGCTTCTTTGCTTGGACCTTTGGCGCCTGGCGCTTCTACGCCTCCTACGCTGTTGCCGATGTTGTCTCCGCAACAACCGATGGGTCAACAGTTTGCACCATGTCAGGCGCCCCAGGCTCCTGTGTCGCAGTCCTTTCCAGTGTTCCCGGGGTAGGCTCCTTATGCGTATCAACCGTCTACAGGTTTTCCGATGCCTCAGGCATCTATGATGCAGACGCCATACGGCAACCAGCAGTTCGATGTGACCATGCTCAGCACTCTCTTGACTTTATTATCAGGTCAAGCCGGTACCTCAGCGCCCATGCCGGTTATGCCTCCAGCAACATCAGCGCCTCTCTCTCCTACAAGACCCTCAGTGCATTTACCACCTCTGCCACCTCCGACGCTTACAGCGCCTATGCCTCCTCCAGCACCGGTGCCTATCCTGTCTACTGTGTCAGCCCCAGTGCCTATGCCAAGGTCTCCCGTTGCTTCCACGTCTTTGGCAGGCGACCATAGGTCGAGACCTCAGAGCAAGGCGTCTTCTTCTAAGGCGTCATCTGAACGTAGCCGTTCCTCCTTGCCGTTTCGTTCACCGTCCTCAGAGAGAGACTTTGCCCCTATGCCCCTATGAGGAGGACATGGGCTCTAATCACCTTGGTTTTGATCAAATGTTTGACTGGATTGCTGATCGTTTGGTAGCCTCAGTCCTTTTACCGGGACCAGATGTTGCAAAGTCGCTTACTACTTGGAACTTGCCTTCCTTAATGTTACCGACACATGAGGCGGTCAGGGAGATTCTATCTACACTTGATGAAGATTTCGCGGGGATATCTCTCAACCCAACTATTAAAGCGCCTGGAGTCCGGCGTGATGACTATTCATGGCTTGGACTTTGCCCAGACAGTGACTAAGGTGGATGAGGAGATAAAACGTGTGACAGGCTCTTCCTCTGTCTCCTCCTATAAAGTTCAGGACACAAGGGTAGCTGCTTTGGACTTGGAACATAATCGTATGCTCCGCCCTATATCGGCATTGGCGTCAGCGACTGATGCCATTACTCAGGATCTTAAGGAAGTAAATCCTGATCGACTGGATCATCTCACAACTATGATGCTGTGGCAATGCAAGGTGGTCACTGACCTGCGTGAGCACCTTCGGTCAGCGCTTGCCAACACGTACGTCATTTGTCGGGGGGCGGTGGGGTAGCCTGATGGTTAAAGCGTTGGCTCGTCACGCCGAAGACCCGGGTTTGAATGCCCACATGGGTACATTGTGTGAAGCCCATTTCTGGTGTCCCCCACCGTGATGTTGCTGGAATATTGCTAAAAGTGGCGAAAAACCAAACTCAGTCAGTAAGTCATTCGTCGGCAAGTCTTACTTTCCTTTTCTTCATGGGATTTGGAGTTTCATCGGAAATTATTCCACCAACCCTGGTCATCGTTGACACTGGTTAACAACGCGATTCATGACATTTATCGGAAAGTGTGTGAATTTGCCAAAGCCTAGACTGCTCTGAAAGCTTTTCAAAAGGGACAACGCCCTTCCTCCATGCCATCCAACACCTACCAGACTCGACGACTTTCTCGTGGCAGGGGACGTAGTGCCAAGCCTAAATCAGACAGGGGAGGATATCAACGTCACCGTGCTCCCGTCCAGAGCGACGGGCGTAGGGGCAAGTGAAGTGAAGGACATGCACAACTGGACACTCCCACCTCCAGTCGTCCCAGTTTATCCTACACCGGTAGGTGGGAGAATAGGGATCTTTTGGGAAAATTGGTCCATCCTAGAGGATCCATACATCACCGATATATTGAGGCAGGGGTTTCGGCTCCCGCTCTCCTCTCCGATCCACCTCTGACGCTGTTCCCGCACTGGCACAATCACTCCCAGATTCAACACAACCTCTTAGTGGAGAATATAGCGATTCTGTTGGAGAAAAGAGTCGTCAAATTACTCCAGCATCCCGTCACAACACCAGGGTTTTATTCTCTAACATTCTTGGTGCCGAAGAAAGGGTCCACGAAAATGAGGATGATTCACAATCTGTCATATTTCAGTGAGACTTTCCTGAAACGTCCTCCACACTTCTGAATGACATCCCTCGAATACCTCAAATCAATGGTATGCGTCAACGATTTCGTCATCAGCCTGGACTTGCAGTATGCATACATCCATGTTCCAATACGCCTCAGCGACAGGAAGTACCTGCGCTTTTATTTCAACGATCAACATTTCCAATGGGCTGTCCTCCCATTTGGAATTTCAATGGCCCCGTGGTTGTTCACAATTCATATTTCCCGGTATCTTCATTTGAGGGGCATCAATTTGGACCCGTACCTGGATGATTGCCTTATGCACCTACTAGACTGTCTACTTCTTATACAACAACGGCATTTCACCCTTCGTCTGTCGCGCCAACTAGGTTGGTTGGTCAACTTGGACAAATCGGAGCTTGTCCCATCTCACACTCCGACATCAATCGGAGGCCATTTCCAGACGGACAAGAACCTAGTTCAGATTCCTCTGGACAGATGGGACAAGATTCAGTCTCTGATTCCACGTGCACTCTCCGAACCTCTGTCTCTCCGCGAGTGGCAGGCACTCCTGGGATTGTTGACATCGCCGCAGGACCTTACCAGCAGAGGGCGTCTTCAACTTCGTCCTCTGCAGCACTTTCTTCAACCATACATTCATCGGGCAGACGTTCATCAACGGTTTTGTCTTCCACCTCAGTTACATCGCTACCTTCTTTGGTGGAATTGCTCATTGAACCTCTTAGGAGGAGTCTCTTTGACAGAGCGGCCACCGGATTACCAACTGTTCGTGGACGCCTCCATGAAGGGTTGGGGCGCTCACTTACACGATCAGACAGCTGCCAGCCTTTGGTCGGGTCAGCACCAAAGCTGGCACATAAACAGTCTGGAGTTGGAGGCTGTGATCCTCGCTATCAATCACTGGGTGCATCGACTACGAGGAACTTGTCTTCTGGTGGCCACAGACAACACAACGGTGGTATGGTACATCCGGAAGCAAGAGTCGACACACTCACAGTTTCTTCTCGATCAGACTTTTCGGCTCTTTCAACTGGTCGACAATCTCCACATTCTGTTGAGAGTTCGGCATATTCCCAGGTGCCGAAACATCCTAGCAGATGCTCTCTCGAGACCCGACAGAGTTGCTCCCACAGAATGGATGCTACACAAGGAGGCCTTCACTCTCCTAAGTCACGCTCTGGGTTCTCCAAACATAGATCTGTTTGCCACTAGCCAAAACCATCAACTGCCAGTGTATGTGTCCCCAGTCCCGAATCCAGCGGCTTGGGCAGTGGATGCTCTTAGCCTATCGTGGGAGGTGCTTCACGTGTATGCGTTTCCGCCACCGGCTCTACTACCCAAAGTTCTCGCAAAAGTCATGGAGACAACTTGCCTTCGACTGATTTTGGTGGCGCCTTGGTGGCCAGCCAGGAACTGGTTTCCGTTCTAAAAAGTCTAGTGGTAGGAGATCCCTTTCCTCTACCCACGTGGAGGAACGTTCTAGTGCACCTTCACAGCCGTCTTCCGCATCCTGCTCCAGATCCGTTCAATCTGCACGCATGGACCATTTGCAGAAAGCACTGAGTGCGAAGGGGTTTTCTGCCAGAGCAGCCAAAGCCATTGCGAGGGCGCACAGAACTTCTACTAGACACTTGTATGACGACAAGTGACAGTCGTTTGAGCGATTTTGTGTTACCAGGAAGCAGGATCCGCTGAAAGCGTCTCCTCAATTCATAGCAGATTTCCTACTTCCGAACGTCCAGGCGTCTAAAGGGAGGCACCATTGCCATGTATTTGGCGGTAATTAGCTCAGTTTTAGCTGTTCCCACTGACAGACAGATTTCCAAAATCCCAGAATTACAGGCTATGCTTCGTTCATTCAAACTTGAAGACCAGAAGTTGAAGTTTCGACCGCCTGCATGGAATCTCAACACTGTTTTAGACCATCTCCGTGGTGCACCTTATGAACCACTTGAGAATCGCTTCCCTTGCTGATTTATCCAGGAAGTTGGCTCTCCTTTTGTCTTTGAGCGTCGTCGTCATGGTTCTGTACATTTGGGTCTGTGTTGGGATTTCATCGCTAAAAATCAACTACCAGGTCAACCTGATCGACAGTTTTCCATTCCACCATTGTCATCTAATGTTGGCACTGAAGACTATATTGAGTTGATTTTATGCCCGGTTCGTGCGCTCAAAACTTACATTGATCGCACCAAAGGCGTCCGTGGTACATGGAAACGGTTATTTCTTCCCAGATCCCGGGGCGTCACAATCAGATGTCAGCAAAAACACAATTGCCTTATTGTTGAGAACGACCATTCTCCAGGCATATAAAGCGGCTGGGCTGGACCCTCCTACGTCCTCTCATCCACACGACATTCGAGCACTTGCTTCGACTATGGCGCTTCACAGTAATTGTACTGTGTCATCCATTATGCAAGGTTGTTTTTGGCGGTCGGACACAGTTTTTGCCAGTCATTATTTGCGTGACATGGCTTTCAAGGATGTTAACGATGTCCACAGCTTCGGACCATTGGTGGTTCATTCGCCATCCCCCGAAGAAAGTGACCCTCCTGCCTTGTGTTTTCTTCCCATGGACCACCATGTAGGGAATGAGTTGTTTTCTTCAGAAACAACTATGTATGTTAATTAAGGAGTTATACTTGTGTTTCAAGTCCGTTCCTTAAGCTTCGCCAGCTTTAAAATTAGTGGTTCTTTTCATTTATCGCTGATTCGCTCTCTGTTCTAAACGCATTACCAACGCTTCCCGAGCACGGGATTTACGGATTGAGCTGGCTGCTATTACATAAGTGAGGTGATCCCTCAGATGACACGCCCACCTTCCAACCTGTCGAATGAAAGTGCAGGGGAAAAAATTAGTAATTTTTTTTTTAGTAAAATCTAAATATTTTTTAAATTTGTATACTTATCCTGCACTACTTATTATAAGGGCCCACCCTGTGCTCTTGACTACCTCCCCGCTTTGTTTGCCATCTATGGGATTTCTGGCAATAATCTGAGGTGGCTGACGTCACCTTCCGGTGACGCATGCGCAGACGAGTAGCAGCCGAGACCAGGAAGTGATTGCAGTTCTACGTCTTTTAGCATCGTCTGGCAAGCCACGCTTTTCGAGCCGTAAGCAATAAGTGCAGGAAGTAAGAAGTGCAGGATAAGTATACAAAAATAAAAAATATTTAGATTTTACTAATTTTTCAAACTTATCCTATCTCAAGGTATGCACTTCCCTCTCTTCTTCGACTAAGGCGTGGAAATGTGCTGTAGGCTAAATTGAATTCCGATTCCCCACTCCGATTGCTGGACCTGTGAATCATCTCTGTAAAGCGTGCTAAGCACTCAGATGGTCATGTGACAGTCCACTACTGTCGTTCTCTTTCTTGTCGCCCACTGGTGTGGATGTGTTTGCCACTCATCTCTACTTTTCATCATGTGACAAGTAATCGATTGTTCTGTTTTGGATGGTGTGACGGGCATCACCGTTGCTCTTATTGTGCCAATCTGGACGATTTAGCATTCTCCGTTATTGTGGAATGGACACAAGACGAGTGGCAGACAGGGATCGTCGGAGGCTTTCCAAGGGTCCATCATCATTTCAACATTCGTCCTCCTTGTGTTATGAGACCTCACGGTTGTTGTGTTAACACAGGGTAATCTGCGGCCCACCATCCAGCAGTTGGATAATGCATACCGTGAGATAGGATAAGTTTAAAAATTTGGAAATTTTAACTATAAATTGTATATTCATATACTGATCCTATCTCACACGATGGATTCCCACCCGACTGCATCACAGATTACTTGAAGCTCTAATACGAGAATAACAGTATTGGGATGTCACATGACCATCTCTGAGCTCTTAGCACACTTACAGAGATGATTGACAGATCCAGCAAACAGAGTGGGGGCAGAGGTCAGGTGGGACAGAGGACAGAAGATTTGATTCAACTTAGCCTACAACACATTTCCACGCCTTGGTCGAAGAAGAGAGAGAGAGAAGTGCTTACTGTGAGATAGGATAAATATATAAATATACAATTTATAGTTAAAATTTCCAATATCATTACATGCAGTGGGGTAGTCTAATGGTTTGCTCAAATTGTTTCTAGTGTACTCTTCTGGAATGTTTCTTAAATAAGCAGTGTCTCACAGTGTTGATGTTTTCCGTATTATTAAAAACTCCAAAACCTTGACATGATTCTCAAGTGTTAATGTATTATTTCTCAACTTCCAGGTGATTATGGAAAGCTTGGCAATGGAAATAATTCTACGCAGAAGAGTCCAAAGATTGTGCAAGGACCATTGACTGGAAAGGTAAATGATCTTAAACTACCGGGGACACTACCTTGAGTTAGATATATCATAACTGAGCTCATCCACAAAGGAGTTCCATTTTTGATGTTATATGTAACACAGTATGAATATGTTAATGACTCAGTCATCCTGTCAGAATATGTCATGTTGCTGCTGCAGGTGGTGAAGTGTGTGTCAGCTGGCTACAGACACAGCGCTGCTGTCACGGAAGATGGAGAGCTGTACACATGGGGTGAAGGAGACTATGGAAGGCTTGGTGTGTAGCAAATGTGATTGTACATTTATTTGTATAATGCAGGAAGCTGAGGCAGTTTTCTTTGAAATCAACATTGGGCAATAGTATTGAATTGCATATTTATAAACTATGTACAATGTGGAATGTACATTATATATATTATGAAATGTCAATCTCTGACTGTAATCATCGCACCCGTGAAGATCCGGATTAGGATTGGTCTTCAGCAACCCATGCTTATTGTAAGAGGCGATTAAAAGGATCGGGTGGTCAGGCTCACTGACTTGGTTGACACATGTTGTCGTATTCCATTTGCGTAGAACTATGCTCATGATGTTGATCACTGGATTGTCTGGTCCCGGCTCAGTTACTTACAGACCACCGTCATATAGCTGGAATATTGCTTAGTGCGGCGTTAAACATCAAACCAACCAAACAAACCAACTGTGATCAGTGCACATTACATTATATGATCAATCAAACATTTGTGATTGCTAGGACATGGAGACAGTTCTAGCCGGAGTTTGCCGCGCCATGTGAAGGACATATCAGGTGTTGGTCAGGTTGCCTGTGGCAGCTCTCACACTATAGCTGTTTCACAGGATGGAAAGACTGTCTGGTCATTTGGAGGAGGTGATAATGGTATGTCTCAGTTGGATATTCTACCTTTTAAAGTATTCTCCTGATTACTGACATTACATGTGAAATATACGCTTTAAGAGGGACTCAGCTGTGAAACTGACACAATTTTCCTCATGTATTTAACTAGTTTAAGGTACTGATGGACATATAGTGTATTAACTGTTACAGATTTGAACAATTTGATATGGAACTTGCCAATCCTGACAAATTGCTGAGCTTGGTCATCCTATCAGTTCCCTGGTATTTATCTTGTTGATGGATGTTGATGCATATAACTGCATGACTGTTGTTATTGCAGCATTTTACAGTTTGTTTATTGTCCACAGGCAAACTTGGCCATGGAGATATGAATCGTCAGTATAAACCTAAAGTGATTGAAGCTTTTATTGGGATGTACATCAGGAAGGTTGCTTGTGGCAGTCAGTCCTCCCTAGCTCTCACATCTACAGGACAGGTAAGACATTGTTGGGAACTTTATTTATCAAAATTATCAACGTTTTAGATCCATGTCATTAGAAGAAGTCCACTGTCATATGGCTGGATTATTGCACACTCAGCATTAAAGAACGAATACACTTTTGTTTTTTGTACTCTTTTTACCATTACATATGAAAGACTTGTGGTTACTCTTAAGCGGAACACCAAATTCATTCTAAAAAATACTTTTGGTTAATTAATATCGAGCAATTTAAAGTTGCCAAACAGTTGTCTGCTTCACTCTCACCTGCCAACAAAACCACAGACAGGTTATGTAACTCTGTCGCCAGCGAACCAGCAGGGACGTTATGTGAGGAAGTATTTTCAGTTAGTTGTATATAAAGTGTGTAACAAGTTAACAACCTCGTCATTTTGCTGGTTTCTTGACGTCATCGAAGACATGCCGAATCATTGCGTTTCCATCAATTGCTGCCAGGGGTCAGGTGATGGTGTCACCATGCACAGATTTCTACCGGACCCAGCAGTTCGTGCTAAATGGGTTATGTTTGTGAGTGCGAAGCGAGCGTTGTGAAAGCCTGGAACGATATCTTACTTGTGTTCAGATCAGTTAAAAAATCAAAACTACTTACTAGTTATAGTAAAATATGTATATAATTGATGACCAAAAGGATTTTGCATGACACAACTTGTAACATAACGAGGTGGGGTCGAAGTGACAATATTGAGTGATAAATTTCTTGCTACATTTACGTTGTTAACATCCACTCGCTCAGTATGTAAATACTAGTTGATCTTCTTCCTGTAACCAGGATGAGCGAGGCTGATCATAGTTTCACTGTCACTAGCGTCTGGCTCGAACAAATAAGGCCCAGCGATTGTTTCATCATTGGTATCCGAGAAACAGTCACTGCTTGAGGACTGGCAATCCATGGAAAGGGAAAGATTGTCGCTGTCTGAATTACTTCTGGACATGTCAGAGTCTACTTTGTACCGAAATGCCAACCCACCGAATTAACCATATTGAAATCACTTGACATAAATGGTTTAACACCCGAGTAAATTGGGGAACAAAAGCCAGACCTAGCCACCAGGTAACCATTACGACAACAAGCGATTTTGACAGAATCGTCTATGAAAACAAGTTGTAACTCAGAAGCTAGGCAAATTAGATAACAAGATTAAATGACAGTAGATTGTGAAAACATAAAGCTTTCATTTTTCACAACAATTGTCACGATTTCTGGTTTAGACAAACATGTAAACAAGATAAGTTACCCCCGGAAATGTACATGAATTCTACAGCGGACCCTCATGTGCATACCTCACATTACATCATGGAGACACGCCCCTCTGATTGGTTGAAATTTTGTTAGCGGGAGGGAATTGTGCACTGTTATCAAAAAGGTCGATTTAAGTTAATTAAATGTTGAAATAAGTAGTTTTAATGAAAGGGTTATAAGGCCAGACCAATTTTATTTCTTGTTTTATGGATCCGCCAGTCATATTTTTTCAAGAATAAGAAAAAAAAATATTATTAATTTTCCCCGCTCAAAAAATAAATCCTTGTGTTTTTATTGGCCAAAAATGTAAACTTACAAGAAAACTTCTTTTGATTGCTTTCTGCCCCTTATATACTTCATAACTTCCCCAAAATAAAATACTTTTAGTATTTAGAAGGAATATTAGTTTGACTGATCATTTTATTTTTATTTTTTTCCCTCCTGCCTTTAGGTTTATGAGGACAAATATCCATAAAACAAGAAATAAAATTGGTCTGGCCTAACGATGCAAATAAATGATTTATGTATTTGTATATGTTATCTCTAAACTATTCTGAAAACATTGTGGAATTGATAAACTTTCTTTTGGAATGATTGACTTTGTTTGCACCTTAGTCATAAGAATGCATTTGCTACCTTGTAGGTATATGCCTGGGGTAGTGGGTCGTGCCTGAGCTGTGGCCTGTCGGAGTTCACAGCACTACGCCCTCATCTGATCGAGGACCTCCAGAATATCAGGGTGGTGGACATTTGTTCAGGAGACAGTCACTGCTTAGCACTTACTCATGGTCAGCTCATCTTACAGTTTCATTTGTAGTCATGTATTTACATCGTAACATTTGAACATTGTATGTTTTGCTTAGTACAACTGTTTTCATCGTAATTGTTTTTGTTGTCCCCCGACGCAACTCGGAACAGGGGACTATGTATTCAGCAGCATCCATACGTACATCCCAATTCTTGTTAGCGATATCTCATGAACTGTTGTACACAATGTCTTCAAATTTGGTGACAGCCTACATTGGGGGTAATGTCAGCACACAAAGTCAGCAATCCAACCTACTCAGCCACCAGACTTTCACACAAAGGGAGGACTACTGGAAAGTTCTAGGTCATGTACTTTGTGTAACCCTCTGACAAATGCATGTTAGTATAACTCCCATGGCCTAAAGCTATGAATACAGAATCCCTTTGAAAAAGACATCAGACGGGACTCAACACCAAGAGTACTAGAATATTTAAATTATGAGTGAGTGCGTGAGTATGGTTTTACGCCACTTTTAGCAATATTCCAGCAATATCATGGCGGGGGACACCAGCAATGGGCTTCACACATTGTACCCATGTGGGGAATCGAAACCGGGTCTTCGGCATGACGAGCGAATGCTTTAACCACTAGGCTACCCCATCGCCCCATTTTACATTATGGGCAAGCTGTAATTTGTTACATTTGATCACTTCTAAATGTCTTTGTGTATTCAGTGTACAACAATGTTAAGTAGTGTGTAGTTTGTAACAAGAATTGTTTTGTCCAGATAATGAAGTGTATGCCTGGGGTAATAATGCCATGGGTCAGTGTGGCCAGGGGACATGCCCAGAGTCCCATCACTCGGCCCCGAAAGGTGATAGGAGTGGAGGGTGTGTCCATACAGCAGATCTCGGCTGGCACCTCTCACAGTATAGCATGGACAGCACTTCCACTCGACAGGTTAGTGATCGCTTGAACTGAGAGTTGTTTCTACTGAATGTCCTTAAACACTTTCTCAATGGCACATCTTATGAAAAAGTACTGCATACTTCTGTCCTGTTGAGAGACAAGTAATTTACTTACATAATAGTATTGACATTCTTTTTCATCAGAGATATTCCTTGGGTTACATATAAGCATTAAAATGTCCATTTTAAAACCCTACGACAGTTGTAACTATATTTTGAATATGATATTTACAAAACAAAAACCAATGTTTTTTGTCTTGTTCGACCACCCCTATGGAGACCAGAATGTTTAATTTCCTAAAAGCCTGCAAGATGAGTACTTCAGAAACAGCTACTGTATGTGTGGTTATCTTTTATTCACATGGGCGATAATTGATAAGTGTGCGTGTCAAGATGGTGGACAGGAGGTGCATACACCCATACCTTTTCAGGTTAGCCTGTAGCATGCTTGTTTACTTTTGTGTGTTGTTTACTGAATTTGCAGATATTTTATCTCATTTCATGTAGATTTTTTATATTACATGAATTGTGCAAGATTCAGCCGAGCACTGTTGTGTCGAACTCTGATAACTCGATATCTCTGTTGTCTCAATATAACATCCCGGTCCCAGCAAAATATTTCATATCTTGATATAATTTTATGGTCCCAACAAGCAAAATTACCCTTTTAGCTCAATATTTGCAAAGAAAGTCAATATTCTTCTACCTTTCATGGGCAAGTATCCCTCTGAACTGAGGTTGTTTCCACACGGTGTGGCATGAATCAAAGGGATGCGGTAGTGTAAACTAATTAGGGCTAATTGAGTTGAAGGTGTCACTTGTTTGTTATTTAATTAGGATTGATTAAGAAGGAATTAATTAGGAAGTACTCACTGTTACGACTAAACACTACTGATAACAGATTATAGTTTCGAATCAAAACATACTGAGATTCCAATGAGGGTTTTGTGTAATCACGTGACTAGCATGTGATTGTTGAGTAAATCCAATTCGAATGGTTAACCCCTCACTTGCGGTGGTGGACAGTCCAGGGGACTCCCTCTGGAGCCTCCCTCTCAGGTTGGGGGTGTTCTGAGTGACTGGTCAGTCTCGGGCCTATGGGTGTGGCACGAGGTCAGTCTGCACATCAATGTGCTAGAATTGAGAGCAGTCTGATGGGTGTTGAAGAGCTATGTGGAGCAGGTTCGTGACCAAGTGGTTTCGTCTAAAGATGGACAACCAGACGGCCATCACCTATATCCTAAAGCAAGGTGGCACAGTATCAGTGTCCCTGCTACAGGAGGCATGGCAGTTTTTACTATGGTGCAACCAGTACATCATACGGGTGATACCAGTCTATCTCCTGAGGGTAGACAACATTCGGGCAGATATGTTCTCCCGTCGTATACTAGCTCCACAGTTGTACAGGTTGTTCCAGGTGGATTTGTTTGCCTCCGGGGCGACAAACCAGATACCAGTGTTTTGCTCTCAGATACCGGATCTGAGAGCAATAGCCAACGATGCCTTCTAGCTCAATTGGACAGACAGGGTACTGTGGCCGTTCCCACCAATGTGACTGATCGCCAAAGTCCACCCAACCAGCTCGACTACTTGTGCTCCTTGCCCCTCTTTGGTCGTCTCAAAGCTGGTTTCGAGTAATTCTCAGGTTTCTGGCTCAGCCTCCTGTACTATTACCCTTTCGAACGGACCTTCTATCCCAGAACAGAGCGCCGCACCCGATTCCCAGGATTCAGTAGGTGGCATGGCCACTGTCCAGAATCGCCTCCAAGCGAGCAGAATTCCTGCATCAGTTGCAAACACAATTCTGGCTTCACGGAGGGATTCGACAAACATTCAGTATGAGTATAGATGGGCCTGATATGCGCGCTGGTGTGTTTTCTTGGGGATTCTTGATCCCTTTTCTCAGCAGATCTAGTAACGGTGCTTGAGTTCCTCCTGTCTCGGTTGGAAGCGGGGCTAGCTGCTTTCATTGTTCGAGGTTACTCAACGGCTATTTCAACATTTCATATACCTGTCAATGGTGCACTCTTGGGGCAGCACCCTCTTGTACAGCATACAAGGAGGGTGTACCCCAAGGAGGATCTCTCATGATAAAGAATCCAACAAACATGTAGAGGTTGCTGATTCTTTGATTAGAGTCCTCCCACATTCTGTCTGTATTTCTTTAGCATGGACAGTGAGGTCAGAGGTCAGCGCTTAGAGTTACCTGCTCTTGGCAGACAAAAACGTGTTTTGTTTTGTAAATATTTTATTCAAAATAAAGTTACAACTGTCATAGGATTTTAAAATGGACATTTCAATGCTTATATGTACCCCAAGGAGGACTGTCATCAAAGAATCAACAACCTCCATAGATTTGTTCAAATCTTTAAAAATATTGGTGTCAGATATCCTTGGAAAACTGTTAACCCTCTACAAAAAATGACTATGTAAGATGTATTTCAAGATGAAAAAGAACATTTGTCATGCAGTTTGTCAGTTCTGCTTGTGAATTATTCTGCAGACATGTCATTGCTTGGCATCGTCCATTCTGCATCGACCTGCAGGAGCACACCTTCATGCTACTGAGAACATTCCTGGAGAGATACTGTGATGGCTTTGACAGTGTAGAACCTCCTGCTCCATTCCCAAGCAAAGAGTGAGTAATCATGTCTGGTACGACTTACTGACCAGTGAAATATTCTCACGGATGGTTTGGATAAACAAGGTCCACTGCAACATCGCTGGTTAAATGTACAGAACCATCACCTGTTGATATCCAAGTCATAAAAAATCCTAACACTGATTACTAATAAATATGATCTTCATCCTGTCTTACCCAAACCATTTCCTAATTTGGTAAGTGATGACAGATCAATATTTTCATTCACTGCTGTACATCTTATATTCTCTTTCACTGAATATGACATATAAATGTAAATTTTTAAACTTATCCTATCTCACGACTTGCACCTCTCTCTCTTGCTTCGACATTTGGTTGAACGACTGTAAACTTTATTCCATAGGCCTCCTTGTCCATTCGCCTGTGCACTCCATGCTGCTCTCCTTAATTAGCTTCCTAGTTCCTAATAAAGCTTACAGCATGCTCCACTAATTGCCCACGTGAATACCTTGAATGATCATTCTCTTTCTTATCACATGACTGTGTGGACATGCTGTATATTAGGGACATTATTTCACCCTAACATCATGGGGAAAACTGATAATCAGTCAAGGAAAAGGAAAGTTTGTGCTCAATGCAAGACGACCCTCACTCGTCTTGCAGTGACTGTGTTGGACAGTGTAACTGGAACAAACGATATGGCAAGTGTAATTCACTAAAAGATGAGGATTTTAAGGCCTACCTTCGTGTTTGCTCCCGGAGATCGCCAATAGGGACAGGAAATCAACAGAATCTGATCCCGCTCCCGCCAAGCGTATCAAGTTACAGCGACAGAAAGTCATACCTTCATGCAAGAGAGCGACATCTGTGGTTCAAGAGGATTTTATGGACGCTTCATCAGATTCTTACTTATCTGAGCACGTTCGGCACCTATTACGTACGCATCAATCGCCTCCTTCCATAGCGTCAGATCACTCGCGGGTGGTTGTGATCGATAATTCTTCGTTGCCTGTCCCATCTACACTACCAGGGGACCTTAGATCCACACTATCATCATCCAGATCATCGGTACATATCCCCTCGACTGTCTCAGTTTGTTTGGAGCCAGGCCAACCGCGTTCAACCAGCCAACTGTCTCCCCACAGTTCTCATTGAACCGGACGGAGCTGGCTACAACAGCGTCGCCGGGGGACGTTCATCATGAATCAACACTTCAGGTTTTGTCACCTAATCGCCGATCCAGATCGCCACATCATTTTAGATCACCACAACGATCTAGATCACCTTCAGGATCCAGATCACCATCACAAGCCCAATCTAGATCACCGTGCCGATCAAGATCACCAGATCGATCCAGAGCACAGTCACGATCCAGAGCACAACTATGATCCTACAGGCGACCGGACTAGTTCTTCATATCATACCTAGTGTTACCCCAGGCATATTTGGCAGCGCCCTGCCCTTTTATTTAGCTACTGCCCTTTTATTTAGCGCCCTGCCCTTTTCATTTAGCGCTGTGCCCTTTTGAATCACCGCATTATCTGCCCTTTGAAAAATCCAATATTTTCCGGATTTTAACAAAGGCAGGAGTTAGCTCCCTTCCCGGATGTTTTTGTTGTGCAATAAAACTACCTATTTAAGTCATGGCGATTTCGGCTTTGTTCGTTTTCATTCTGATTCACAATGCCAACCAAAGAAAGAACAAAGAGGAAAAGAGAAGAAGCTGTGAAGGCTGAAGCAAGGAAGTGTCGTCGACTCGTGGATTTCTTCGCGCCAAACAGGTACGACTTGACAATGACTTCCGCCATTTTGAACCGATAGCGGCAAAATTAGAAAACATTTCCAGCAATAATCTAGGTTCATGTGATCTCTTTGTAGCTAATAAAACATGCCCATTCCGTCTCTGTTATGTTTAAGAATCTTTGCTGTAAATACTTTACGTCCATATCTTATTTCAATCTTTTTGTGAGTAGAAAATAAAAACGAATGAAACAAAGGGAAGCCATATCGGACATGATCACTTCAGATTATTCCGAATATTTTTCTTTTCCTTTTCCTTTTCAATGCTTGTCTCAAGTATTTAAAACACACCGGTGATTGTTATCCTCTCTAATATTACGATTGTGAATAGATTCTAATATGTTTTTTTTACTTTTAATTTCTCCTTGTTCAGTCAACCTCGCTCTGAAAGAAATCTTTCGGAAGCACGTATTTCTCATTTCGATTTTCTAGATATACACAAAACCCTCTCATTTGCTATAGTTAATATTTGCACTGGGTATATGTGTTGAAATTTTATTTAATCTTTGTAAATGTACGAATTACCGAAGTAATAATTCCACACGAAATAGACACAGGAATCGAAGCCACATCAAACATGTCTATTTCTGAACGTATCTAAGTTTATTTTTTGCACTGCATACATGTAGTTTTTCATATTCTAAAATATCGGTAGAAATACTAAATTAATTTTTCTATATATACTTAATTTGAAGTTAGTAGATTTTGTGGTGGATAAGGTGTCTGCAATGAACAAAGACAATTTTTACCTGTCTCCATATCTAGTCTTAAAGATTTTCAAAATTAAAAATAATTGTTCCAAACTTTTGTGTATATTTATCTGATATTTTACCCTAATTTATCCTCAACTGAAATGTAATAAAAGTGTGAACTGTTTTTTCTGTGTGCGAAAAAGTACTTTCATTAGTACAAGGTATTTTTACTATTCTTATTTTCTTAATATTCAAAGGATGTTTTCTTATTACCAAATTACAAAATACAATAAATTTTGGCTGGAAATAAAACTGACTTGTATGTGTATTTCAGACCCGATGTAGAAGATTCAGAACTTGTTTGCTATGACATTGACAAGTGGTTGTCATCCAGTGGCCCAGCTCCTCAAACAACTCAGAAGAAGAAAGATGCAGGTCACAAGCTTGTCTTCGATACCAAGTGGAAACAAGGTCGCCCCTGGCTAAAATACGTTGAGGATGCAAACGAGGAGGGTGAAACAAGCTCCATGATGTTTTGTTCTCTTTGCACCAAGTGGAATATGAAAGGACGAAATGGATCCATGGTTTGGACACAAGGTGGATGTCACATTTTCATATATTGACATACTGTTCAAATTTTGCAGATTACAGAACTGGCAGAACACTTTGGCCTGGATGTTGATAAAACACAGCTTGAGTGGAGTCAGGTCAAGGAACTCTTTGCTGAGGAAGTTGACACCTGTTCACCATCCAATATCCTGAAGACTCTGACAAGCCTCAAGCCCCAACTGGGAGACCTCTACCCAAACATTGTGAAGCTCCTGAGTATCCATGCTACTGTGATCCTTTCAACATCAGAGGTTGAGAGAGTCTTCTCCAGGGCGAAACTCATTGTAACAGACCATAGGAACAGGCTGAAAGTAAATAACTGCACCAAGCTACTTATGGTCAGCATGAATGCTAAGTCTTCTACTGACATTGACTTGAGGAAGTGTGTGGCCAAGTTCTTGGCACGAAAGAAGAGGAGAATATGAACGAATAATTTTATGAACTTGCATCAAAGCATGCCAAACAGACCCAAATTATGTCATCCACAGTAAATTATTGAACCCTTAATTGTTGTGCCTTTTTTTGTTTGCTGAATGCCCTTTTGAATTTTAAAGTGCCTTTTTTTCTCTGAGTCTACCCTGCCCTTCATAATCCTGGGGGAAACACTAATACCGGATCACCTAGCCATACTAGGGAATCCAGATCACTGGCTTACCAACCTACTTTGGTACTTACCACGTACCACGTACACCAAATGATGGTTTCAAGAGCCTGAAACGAATTAAGGACAGATTCTCTGCTCCCAGATATAATCCTTCTACCTCTCATGTCCACGGCTCCGGAGTCTCTATGATGCCCTTTGCACCGACTTATCACCTGTTCGTCAATGCATCCCTCATGGGTTATGGAGCTCACTTCCACGACCACCAAGTGGCCGGGCTGTGGTCATCCGACGAACGGGTACTTCATATAAACGAGCTGGAATTCAAGGCGGTAATTCAAGCCATCTCACATTGGGCAACAGAGCTTCAATCAACCAGTCTGTTAATCCAATCAGACAATTTCGACAGTGGTTTGGTATATAAATCATCTAGGCTCGACGGGGCGGTGGGGTAGCCTAGTGGTTAAAGCGTTCGCTCATCATGCCGAAGACCCGGGTTCGAATCCCCACGTGACATGGGTACATTGTATGAAGCCCATGTCGGGTGTCCCCCGCCGTGATATTGCTGGAATATTGCTAAAAGCGGCGTAAAACCAAACTCACTCACTCACTCTAGGCTCCACAGGCTCGGCGAATCTGCTACAATGGGCGATCAGGTTCTTCCATCTCATCGACTCACTCAACATCGTAGCCAGAGCCAGACACATTCCCGGGGTAAAAAATGTGATCGCCGATGCCTTGTCCTGATCCAAACGACCGTCCCCGACAGAATGGAAGTTACTGCCCCAGATCTTTCAGTCGATGATCTACCCGTTATAACGGCCTCAAATGGATCTGTTCGCCACAAGGTTCAACAACCAACTTCCAAAGTTCATATCACCAATCCCAGACTCCTTGGCGTGGGACCTCGACGCGTTGGCAATATCATGGGAGGGTCTCAATGCCTACGCGTTTCCACCTCCAGCTCTGCTACCAAAAGTAATACAGAAACTATTGGCCACCAGAAACATACTACTGCTTTTGGTCGCACCCTTCTGGCCAGCGAGAAGTTGGTTCGTCAACCTAAGAAGCCTGGCAGAGCCAAACCCAGTACTGCTTCCAAACCGGGACGACCTACTTCTTCACCCTCATTTGGAACTGCGCCACAGGTCACCTCAGACCCTCAATCTACACGTTTGGCGCATCTTCAGGGGTCTGTCATAGCTAAGGGCTACTCTCGCCGAGTAGCCACAGCTATCACTTCAGTGCATCGTACTTCGACCCGTTCCTTGTACGACAACAAGTGGAAGAAGTTTGAAGACTATTGCAAGCTTAGGGGAATTGCATCTCCCACTTCCACCTCAGCTCAGGCCATTGCTGAGTTTCTACAGCATCTCTGCACTACTAAGAAACTCAAGGGTACTACGTTAGCCGCCATTAACTCGGTTTTGGCTACCACCACGGGGAAAAAGATTTCCACGTTCCCGAGTTGCAGAGTCAACTACGCTCCTATAGACTCTCTGACCAGTCCAGGAAGTTCAGACCTCTAGCTGGGATCTGTATGTCGTCCTTCGTCATATGATTTCTACAGATTATGAACAATTGGAAGACAAGCACTTCGAACAAGTGACATTCAAGACATTCTTCCTGGTAGCTTTGGCTACCGCTGCTCGTATATATGAACTGCATGCGCTTGATGTCAATCGGGTGCAGTTCGAGCAGAAGAAGCATGGCAAGGCTTTCCTGGGTCTCCGCTGGGACTTCATTGCGAAAAACCAACTGCCAAGGCAACCAGACCGGATGTTAACCATTCCCCCGTTGTCCACCATTCTTGGGCCTGCTGATAATGAAGATTTGACACTCTGCCCTGTTAGGGCTCTACACGTTTACCTTGCTGCCTCCAAGGATCGTCGACGGCTCAGGAAGCGCCTCTTCATACCCTTGTCGAACGTTTCAAGAACTGAGGTTTCCCGGACCACATTGGCCTTCTGGAAGCATGCCACGATCCTGTGAGCCTACACCTTTGCAGGGTTGCCTCCTCCAGCCACTTCCAATCCTCATGAGACTCGTGCACTAGCCTCGACGATGGCCCTCCATAGCAACTGCTCCTTGACTGCTATCAAGGAAGGTTGCTTCTGGCATTCTGATACAGTCTTCTCTTCACATTACCTGCGAGACCTGGAGACCACGGATGTCCAGGTACTACACCAGTTCGGACCTCTTGTACTGGCTCAGCAGCTTACATCGGCCCAACAACGCAGATGACGGACGGTTCCGCATTCGCGTTACTACTTCCTTGTATATACTGAATAAAAGTTGAACTTGATCTCAACCTTGTGTTCTCGTTATATGGGTTTAAGAACTACTTCACTTGGCCTCCATACCAAGGCATCGGAATGTGGCCACCTAGCGTGGCCCTACAGACCTGAGGCACAATCAGTATGACGATGGAGAGGTGTTCGACATTCACGCTTACTAACCTCTACTCCACGGAGAAATTACGTCAGTAAAGTGTGACACTCCCGAATTCAAGTGGATTTCATTGCATTCTGCCTCCAAAGTTGCCGGGCACATCCTTTGACTAAGCTTAGGCAAAGGAGTGAGGGTCAATTTGATTCCGCCTGGAACTGAACGTTAAACCTTGGAGATGCCGAGTTGTGTTTCTCTTTCACCCGCCTCGGTCGGTGTCTGGGGGGCCTTCTTGAAGCAGGGGCTGGCCCGATTCTAGTCACAAGACTTTAACTACGGGGGTACCTTGTAAATCGTGGCGAGGCGAGGCTTACTTGCTGAGTTGCATCCATTGTCTTGTACAAGGTTGCGGTCGAACACCACAATGCTCGGGAGCAGCCATCACCCTGGGAGTCGTTGTGCTTAGTAAGCCAAGGGGTTCCAGAGAACCCACTACAAGCAGAGCAGTTGCGTGCATGCATAACAGGCCTCCCTTGTACATCGCTATCTACGGTTGTCATCAGTCCACACAGCTCCAAGACCAGCTGTTCGCACTCTCCAGACAGAAGGGTAATCTGCGGCCCGCGTCCAACCGTGGGATAAGTGCAAGTCGTGAGATAGGATAAGTTTAAAAATTTTGAAATTTGGATATAAATTGTATATTTATGTACTTATCCTATGTCACGCGATGGATGCCCGCCCGGCCTCCCCACTAAGATTACAACATTGGCTCCAAGATGAGAATGATCATTCAAGGTAGTCACGTGGACAATTAGTGGAGCATGCTGCAAGCTTTATTAGGAACTAGGAAGCTAATTAAGGAACGGGCGAATGGACAAGGAGGCCTATGGAAAAAGTTTACAGTCGTTCCACTAAAAGTCGAAGCAAGAGAGAGAGGTGCAAGTCGTGAGATGGGATAAGTATATAAATGTACAATTTATATTAAAATTTCCAATTTTATTGTTATGAGGTTTTTGAAAACCCACTATTGATGTGTTTACAGCCATCTTTGTTGTGATTTCAGAGAAACACATGTATAAATGTATTGACACTTTCTTCAGGGAACACCATCACTTTGTGTTGATGTGTTTGAAGCTGCTCAGCTCTCATTTGTCTCTGGCTCTGGCTGGAGGACTTGGCTCTGACATACTCGGTCGGGAGACACGTCCTCTCCGCAATCTTCTTTTCCGGCTCATGGATACAAGCACACCAGATCTTGTACAGGAGGTACAACATCCTTCAACTCAAATTACAGTCTGAAACTCATAATCAATAACATGATTAAAGTGAATGTGTACCATCTTAGTCATTAACATCCACACCTGCAGATTTGGAGAAAGTACTGTATGTATTCAAAAACACCTTTATTAATATGTTTTTGGGTATTTACAGCCAAATGTGCATTTCATCCTTCCCATTAATGATGATGTATCATTGACTTTTTTATTAACTTTTTGTAAAAATAAATGATCTATGTCGCCAGCATAAATTTCTCAGAGAAGGTTACCAGTAATCACACAATTTGGTGTTGTTTGAACAGTTGTGTGAACATGTTTGGTGTGGATGAGTTTGTGTTTGTGTTGAGTTATATATGAAAAACAAATGAAACCTTCTTCTTTTTATACTCAAATTAAACTGTATTTGGCCCTTCACTACACTGGTTGAGGGTCTATTCTTGGTAAACAGGGTTTCTGTAATAAAATATCAATTACAAATTTGTTCAATTTATGTTCATTTGTACACATACTTGCAGAAATGATCCTGTCATGTTAGTACCTGTACCTGTGATAATTTTGAAGGCGGTGTCAGAAACATTGTCGATAGGAGCATCGCTGCTGTTGCCACCTTTAAGAGAGAGGATGGAGTTGCTACACTCACTGTTGCCCCAGGGGCCAGATAGTTGGGAGACACTCACTAGGGGACAGGTAGGAACAGCTTGTTTATAGGACTGTCATTATCATGATTATGTATACATTCATAAACTAGTCCAGCTACCTTACGTATATTTTGCTATAAATGGCTTTGATGATATTTTGCAATTAAAATTCTTTTCCACATAGTCTCTTCTAGTTTGTTGGAAATTAGATTGGTTTTCTTGTCTTTCTGTTAAGTATATGTTTTTGTTGTTTTGGGTTTTAAGATTACCTTAACCTGGATTACTCCTTAATGGATTTACTGCTTTCCTTTGACAAGACGAAGCTGTGCGATGGAAACGTTGAAGAGAAGTTGTTACAACTAAGCGAGCCGCCATATTGCCAGCGCCCACATGACCCAGAAAGTGATGACATAACATATCTTCACATTACTGCTTGTCACCAGCCTGACAGGCCGTGCGATTTTTCTTGGATTAAAGTTTGCGACTATAAACATTTATTTTGTATGTTTTTTGTTGTTGTTTTTTGGATAGATTCTTCAGAACTGGTTTGTGACTTCACATATTACTATTTATCTAAATAGAAGTGTAATATCATGATTCGGCTTAGCAGGAGTCGGTTCTCGACAGAGCAGGAAATCCACTAAACAGAAACACAGATCGAGGAGTTGTTCTCCAGTCCGGAGACCTTATAACTACCATTCTGATTCATCAGAGGTTGCCTTTGTCCTGATTTATGAGGAATCATCTCCGGAAATCAATACTCACTTAGGATTGTCTATCCTCTGTGGCTCCCTACCGCGGTCGGGGGATTGACAAGAGGGACACTATTTGGTCGGACCCAACTTCTACCCCACTGGATCTTGACTTGATTGAGGACTTGATCATGGTGCTTGACAAGGATTTAGCCAGGCTATCCCTTACTCCATCCATTAAGGCGCTACGTTTTCGGAAGGATGATTTTCCTATCCATGCTCTTGAGGTAGCAGATTTGCCTCACACACTTGATGAGGACTTACACCATATGACAGGCTCATCTAAACCTGTAACGCTTCATATGCCGGACACTCGTTTAGCCTTTATTGAGACAAAAATTCAACACTCCCTCAAACTTTTGTCGGCGTTGGCTTCCTCTTTGAGGGCTATTAGTCAGGACTTGTATGAAAGCAATCCAAATCGCATAGACCATCTCCGCATATTGACTTTTCAACAGAGGCAGATTGAGCATATGAGTAATCATCTGAAGGCAGCGTTAGTTGAAATCACTTAGCCACAAAGCCTGGGATATTTGGCTCTCTCAGAATGGGACTTGGAATTTAAACAATGTCTACTACATCAGCCTTGATCTGCTTCCTCCCTTTTCAGTGGTGAAGTTTCCAACAATCACTCCCGTGTTTCTGCTTACTCCCGTGATGAGACAGCCCTCAAGGCCCTGGAACAAGTTTCTAAGAATTCGGCGCTAAAAATTCCAAGGGCAGGAAACTATCAACCCCGGCGTAATTCTCTCAAGCCCCACACCAACCAGCCCTTTCGTGCTAGAAGCCGTGAGAGGGGGACAATCTGAGAATTACCAGCCCCGCCAAGACAGAAGTTCCGGCAGGGGGAGGTACCAGAGGGGCAGGCAATGAAGTGCTGGACCACAACGACTGGGAATTCCCACCCCCCAGCCGTTCCAGTCACAGACACGCCAGTAGGTGGGAGACTGGGCCGATATTGAAAGGGGACCTTACTAGGGGACCTGTTCATCACCAACATCCTCTGTCGGGGCTGTCGACATTCCCTGATAGACAGTCCACCGTTAACAATATCAACTCCAACTGATGTCTACCCCCCAACCAACATCACATCTTTTTGGACAATATAAAAATATTGTTACACAAGAAAGCCATAGAGATAGTTAAGGGGCCGACATTGACGCCAGGCTTTTACTCCCCAGTGTTTCTGGTTCCCCAAAAGGACTCCGACAATTTCAGAATCTCTGTTCAATGAACGTTATCCGGAACCGCCGCCTCACTTTCAAATGACAACGTTGAGAATCAGCGCCCATGATTACCTGATCAGTCTCGACTTACAGGACGCGTGTTTGCATGTACCAATCCACCCCAGCAACAGGCGTTTCCTCGGGTTTATTTTCAATGGCATCCATTACCAGTGGGTTGTACTCCCATTTGGAATTTCTTCGGCTCCGTGGCTTTTCACATGAATAACTAAGCCGATAGCTGCCTACCTACACCTGAGGAACATTCAAATCAAATCATACATCGACAATTGTCTCCTAAATCAGCAGGACCCATCAACTCTTGTCCTACACAGGGATTTCACCAGACGCCTCCTTTATCAGCTGGGATGGATTGTCAATGAAGTCGGAACTCACTCCCTCTTGCACGCTCCGGTTCATAGGAGGATTGTTTCAGATACATTTGGACCTCTTAGTCTTATCCCTTCCAAGAGACCACTGGCTCAAGATTCTGCAGCATCTTTATCCAGCACTCCATCAATCCCGTACACTTCACCAGTGGCAAGTACTTCTGGGTTTACTAACGTCAGCACAGGATCTGACAACCAGGGGTCGCCTTCAACTGTGGCCCTATCCAACTTTTCCTAGCCCCATTCATCAGGCGTCAGGATCAGTCGGTCTCCATCACTCTACTGTCTCACCTTCAGATGTATCTCCGATGGTGGACGATAGAGTCGAAAGTCTTAGGAGGCGTCTCCTTTACTGGGTTAACACCCACTCTATGCCTCTTCGTAGCCGCATCTCGCCAAGGCTGTGGTGCCCATCTCGAGGGCGAGGTTATCTCAGGGCAGTGGTCCACTGACCAACGCAGTTGGCATATCAACAATCTGGAGTTGGAGGGAGTTATTCTGGCTGTGTCTCACTGGCAGTCACGACTTCAGCATGCCAAACTCATCATATTGACAGACAACACCATCCCAACATAGACTTGTTTGCCACCAACCAGAACTTCCAGATCCGAACCTACATATCGTTGGCTCTGGTACCCTTTTCCACCACCAGTACTTCTTCCAAGGTCCTTCAGAAGGTCAGAGCGGCCCACCAGCTCTCACTGATTTGATCGTGGCTGACGAGGAGTTGGTTCATGGATCTAAGAAAGCTCGTCACCAACGACCCTCTAAAGCTGCCAGAGTGGCCCAATCTGCTGATACACCCACAAAGTGGCTCCAGATCAGTTTCATCTGCATGCCTGGTACATTTACAAAGGGCTTTAAGCGCCAAGGGTTATTCAGCTAGAGCTGCTAGGGCCATAACTTTGGCACACAGACCCTCTACTCGAGGCTCATATGACAACAAATGGAGATCCTTTGAGAGCTTTTGTAAGGACAAACACCAGAATTCTGTTACTGCATCACCTCAATTCTTCACTGAATTTCTTCTGTTACTGCATAATCACAGACACCTCAGGGGTAGTACCATTACAACTCGGTAGAACTCGATAGCTCTGAACTCGGTTTGTTGCTTCGTTTGTTGCGGGAGGCGCCGTTTGTGCCGCTTCACGCCATATCTTTTTACAACCTCACCAAGAAGATGTCCTTTCTGCTTGCATTGGGCACGGCAGCTAGGGTTCGTTTTTAACATACCCCACATGGCGCTGTCCACTGAGACTGTGCTGGGACTTCATAGCAAACAATCAGCCAGGACAGCCCGACAGGTCTTTCACTATTCCACCTCTTTCTTCGATTGTGGGATCTGAAGATGACACTGAACTTCACTTATGCCCAGTCCTCGCATTTTGGTGTTTTCTCCGTTTGTCAAGGGCTCATCGTGGTTCAAGAAAACGGCTCTTCATTCCTTTCTCCAAGACATCCAAGGCAGAAGTTAGTCGTAACACTTTGGCGTTATGGTTGCGAGCCCCCATCCTCCAGGCTTATGAAGCCGCCAACTTGGACCCTCCTCGGGCAAACAACCCTCACGAGATCATAGCGGTAGCCTCCACGATGGCCCTCCCCACATTTCTTCAGATATTATGATCCAGCTGTAATGTGAAGATACATGACGTCAGCACTTTCCGGGTCACGTGGGCGCAGTGCAATGGCAATATGTCAACTTGCTTAGTTGGAACAACTTCTCTTCATCGTTTCCATCGCACAGCTTTGCCTTGTCAAAGGAAAATGCATTAAATGCATTAAGGAGTAATGCAGGATAAGTATACAAATATAAAAAATATCTTGATTTTACTAGATGTGTTAATAATGACCAAACTATCTATTGTAGAGGATGCAGCTCGGTATTATACTGACAAGCCTCCAAGACAATCAGCAAATTGCTTCTGTTTTGGGATTTTCTACTGCTCTAGACACCAAGAATATCACAGAGAAAGTTTCTGAGTCTGCCACTTCGGATCTGCAGTTAGCTGAGGTTCTCATGAAAACTATCCTCAGAAACCTAGCTTCTCATACTGTAAGTCATTGTTAAGTATTCAGTTATGTCCTATTCTTCTATGGCTTCTCTTAATATGTTGGATATCTGTTTGGACCACAATGCTACACTGTCACCCTCAGGTATATGAGAGAGCAACTGTTGTTTAGTGTCCCAGTCTCCAATGTTTCCGTTATATGACAGCCTGTAAGTAACTGAGTCTGGACTTGGCTAACCTGGGACTGAAAACATGACCAACTGTCTAGGCTATCAGAGCACAAAGACATTCTGTCAGCTTTAGTCACAGATTTGACTGAGTTTTCTTATATGTAACCCTTTGGGATCCTTATAGTATCAAGTGTATGGTGCACATATTTGAGGTGAGGTGAAATGAGGTTAAACGTTGTTCTTAAGAATATTTCACTCACATGAAGACATGCGTTCGTGTGTGTGTATGTGTGGCTGCTTATACAAGCCCAGACATAAGCTGTTATTATATAGTGCTAGCTCACTGAGATACCATGCCGCAGTTAAGCATGAATATCCCACTCAGACACATTATTCTGACTCCAAGCCGACCAGTCCTTCTTGGCAGGGACCAACAAGTACCATATTTTAACGTCTTTAGGTATGACACGACCGGGGAGGGAACCTGCGACCTTCTGCTCTCTGGGTGGACACTCTAACCACTATACCACGGAGGTGGTCGTGAACGTATTTGAATTTCCAGCATTAAACTCAAATCACATTTTCAGAATGCTTCTGTTGATATGCAGATTGTAGACCGATCCCCTCCTACAAGCGATACTGTCTCGGTTGATATGAGTGTTTAATGAGTATTTCTTCTCACTGCTTCTCACCATGCAGAAGTTACTGCATTATTTACAAGTGAGTGTGATGGTTGTCAACAGGAGAAGACCTTGAATGAGCTAGCCAAGAACAGTGACAAGAAGAGCAGTGACGGCAGCCCCGACCGAGCCCCTCCATCTCACCTACACAGCTTACTCTCCTCCCTACACAAGCACCTGCTGGCATTCTGCTTCAGCAAGGCAGCCGAGGGAAGCCTGGTTAGTAGCATAGTGATCAGTAATACCATACCACATAACTTGGCAGATACCTGTCTTTGGCTCTCTTATTTGTAATATACTATTCACACTTTGATAAGGGGCGGTGGGGTAGCCTAATGGTTAAAGCGTTGGCTCGTCACGCCGAAGACCCGGGTTCAAATCCCCACATGGGCACAAAGTGTGAAGCCCATTTCTGGTGTCCCCCGCCGTGATGTTGCTGGAATATTGCTAAAAGCGGCGTAAAAACCAAACTCAGTCAGTCACACTTTGATAAGGATCAAATCATGGATTCAACAGAAAACTATGATGTGGGGTCAAATTGGATTTAAATATCTAAGCTTAGTGGAAGTATGGATCCTAGGTTTCAGTATGTGATTGCATTTTGTGGATCCCATGTCTGCTATTGACAGGTGTTGTGTACTTGTCAATGACTTGTTCCATGATTTGCAAAATGGTTGATTGTGCCATGAAAACTATTTTTATGGTTATTCATGTATCAAGTGCATTAGGTTAGATTAAAGTGACTGTTTGCCTAAAGAGGGGTTACCATATTATTATCTATCCCGTTTTAAGTGGATACAATTTCAAATTATGAATCTACGTTTTATAGTCTGTTTGGCTCAAAAACGGACCGATGATCTGCAATCAGCCAGGTGTGCGAGAAAGGATGGAGACAGCACAGCACAGGTTAATGAATCAATAACTTTGTCGGCACTTGTGCACGTGCTTCTCGAACACCTGTCTGTCGCTTTCTCTGCACTCCTCCCTCGTAACAAATAGTGAACTGTGTCAAAATTTTAATGATAGTTTGTTAAACAACTTTTTTTTTTTTAGGACATCTGCAAATAAATCACAGAGTTGGTCTGATGTTTTGATTATGATCAGCGTTTCATTGAGTATTATATGTGTATTATTTTTCGAGTTAGGTTGCAATTCATCAGATCGTTTTTGAGCCAAACAGACTATAGTAAAGTTGTGAATTTTTGTGATCCTTAGCAAAGTGTGAGTAGTATACCATACCATAGAATTTATAGTTTGCTCCCCATGAGTGAGTGAGTGAGAGTGTGTGTGTGTGTGTGTGTGCATGCATGTGTGTGATATGATATGTGGACTATTGTTAGTTAAGCTATTTCATTGTGGTTATTTAGCCAGATGCTCATGATATAGTCAGAATTGTAGAATTGATGCTACTTTCAGCATTATTTTCCCCCTGTATTTATTTACTACAACAGAAAATAATCTTACCTAACTAAGGGCCTGTGGCAGTTGCTAATGTGGCAGATCCAGTTTTGGACAACATTTTTATCAACTGTTGGAAAATATGTGATATTTTTCATCTTATTAGTAATCCACATCAAAATGTCAAAAAAGGTCTCTGTTCAGTTCAGTTCAGAAACCCTCATGTTGCTTGATGTACTGGTAATAGTTCAGTGATCATCGTGATGGCCATTTTGTTTCGATGTCTTCCAGATTGTGCCTGTGGTGAACCTGCTGCACCACCACCTGTCTCTACTCCTGCCTGTGTGTGGGGAGATCCTGTCTCAGGCTACACAGGCACTGCAGCAGGGGCAGGGAAATGAACACTTCTCCACTCAAGTTGAAGGTCAGCAGCTGGGCCATACTTCACCATTAGTCCCTGTTAATACCACTTGGTGATGTATACAAATGTCATCTTGATGTGCCCCAGACATATGTTGCACTGTTTGTACATTTCAGCATGAGTATCTGAAAGTAAAAGAGCACTTTCATTAGATTTCATTGTCATTTAGTGACAGAAAAAGACTTTAAACAGAAGAAATAGCAGTGGGAATGCAACTTTTGCTTCTAGAATTGAGGCTTCACCGCACTTTCCTGACAGTTTCCTTCTGTCATTAATGTTTTGATTATCTAACATGCAGCAAGTTTAGCACGGACAAGTTTTCTGTTCCACGTCTTTGTGTGTCTCAGAGCTGCTGTTGGCTTCCCCTGCTGGTGGAATGTTGACTCACATTCTCCACTCACTGCTGGTGCTACCCATGGACATGATGGTGCCCGTCCTCCATGAGATACTCTCTCTGCTACCCTGTCTGGACAAGCTCAGTAAGATCCTCCCTGGGACACAGAGGCTGGAGGACATTGAACTGGAGTTCAACAGAAGTAGGACATTAAGAAATTTTAAAGTACTTCTCGCTGTTTCTTATCTGCATGAACATAGTTTCAATGCATATCTTTTCAGGTTGAGTTTATTTCATTGGAAGGGTGATCACATGGAAATATTCGTTTGACTTTGCATGAGTGAATTTTTGTTGTTGTAAAAACATGTTGCCCAACATCAATTATGTTTCACCCGTTTTATGCATGCGAAAGTGATCATTTATCAACTATAATCTTGCTCAATACTGCATTGAACTCTTTCTATCCTTTCATATACTCTGTATGTATGGCAGCATGGTACATTTTCATCAATATTTTAAACAGGACTCATGCCACTTTGAATCAGTGTATTTAATTTATACATGTCTTAGGTTTATATGTCAAATAATTATCATTTCATGCAAGACCTACATTTTGTGTTTTTAGAATGAAGAACTATTTTGTACAGGTTATTTATACAGCAGGATTTGATAACTTATGTTTTGGTCAGGTGGGAGCACCTCAGGAGGAGAGAGTGAGATTCACTGGTGCTGGGTAGTGGACATGGAGCGAACATGTGCCCTGGTTGTTGGTCATTGTATCGGTGGTATGCTACTCGGAGCACCTGTTTCCCAGTGTGAGACAGAGTCCTCATACTGGCTTGAGAGCAGACTCTTCAGTAATGGGCTGGAAATGTCTCAGGTGGATCTAGGTGAGGAAACAAAATATTTTAAACAATTTGTTCCCATGAAGTAACATCTGAGACCTGTGAAGAACTGGGTTAGAATTAGTCTTCAGTAACCCATGCTTGTTGTAAGAGGTGAATAACTAGGTCAGATGGTCAGGCTCGCTGACTTACTTGACTTAAATGGGGCGGTGGGGTAGTCTAGTGGTTAAAGCGTTGGCTCGTCACGCCGAAGACCCGGGTTCGAATCCCCACATGGGTACAATGAGTGAAGCCCATTTCTGGTGTCCCCCGCCGTGATATTGCTGGAATATTGCTAAAAGCGGCGTAAAACCAAACTCAGTCAGTCAGTCAGTAATTGACTTAATTGTATCCCAATTGCATAAATCAGTGCTCATGATGTTGATCACCAGGTTGTCTGGTCGAGACTGTTATTTACAGACCACCATCATACTGCTGGAATATTGCTGAGTGTGGCATTAAACAACAACCAAACAAACAAACAAACAAACAGTAACATTTAACAAGATTGCTGAAAACAACGACCAAATGTTGAAGGAGTTGTTAATGATAGTGCATATCTGTTCACAACAGTTTTCTGAATTTGGGAATGGGGAAGTTGTCATTGCTTTGTTCTAAGTTATAATCTTGTGCTTTCAGAGAAAATATCAAATGCAATCCAAGAAAGTGTGTTCGAATGTAGAACAAACAGAGTCCAGCCCAACTTTGATCTGAATTTAGACACAGTTACCTCCCTGCTTCTTGACCTTAGCCTTGGAAATCAGACAGAGCCTGTTCAACATGTGTGGAGCATGATGGTGGACTATGCAGAGTATCAGGGTGCGTCACTCATCTCATCATTACATTCACCACCATATTGTCCCTACTTCCTACTCTACACACCTACTATGATAGAAATTGTTAAATCAGTTGACTTATCATGTTTGTCAGATGTTGGGCGAGTTTACACTACTCATTGCTATTATAATTTAGGATTATAACGTGGACATATTGCCACTGCCCATATGTATACTAAGTAGAATTGAAGGGGATGTCCAGTTGACAGCAGCACCAGCACCTCATACATGTTGTCATTAAACTGAACATCTGATTGTGGATCATCATACCCAACCCAACAGCCTCGATTATCAGTAAAAGAACAACCACTGGTTCTCATGGCCCACAGTAGATTATGTACATACCGGGGTACCTCCACGTCATAGCTGGGACTCTGCTGCTGGATTATAAATAACATTACCCATCTCACTCAACCTTTACTTTCTAATTGCAGATTTTGATACCTGTGAATTGAACAATGAGCCGTTGTTGGACACAGTCAGCAGGTTCTACCTGGCAGCACTCCTGAAGCACACAAACCAAGCCAAAGCTGCATTTGAATTGGAAAGGTTAGCTTTTGTTTCTTTTACTTTACAATGTTTTCATAGAAGAGATCAAAACAGCCTGAACAAAATATATCTGAATATGTTATTCTGCATCCTTTTTTTGGAGTTTACTTGTAAGAATGTCCATCATAAGCTTTCTCACTAGACAAGCATATGTATCATGCTTGGGCTTAAACAAATTAGCTAAGACTTCATGCTGACTGAATGTCTTTCCTTGCATTTTTTTAAAATTGTTCTCGAATTTTGTTTTTCATTTGCTGTTACAAATTTCACAAAGGTTGCCCACAAGTCTGTCATATGCCATTTATTTTTCAACTCAGTAATCTATATCCATCTATATGTTAAAAGGTTTTGGTCACAATTGGAGGAACCTCTGTGATTCCAATTGAAATTGAAATCTATTCATGAATATTCATTATCATGATCCAGAATAGAAGTTGATTGACTGACACTGTTACCTATCTACCTCTTACCTACAAACCATATTTTGTTCACATTTTCCAGTCCTTCCAAACAGCTGACTGGGCTGTATCAGCTTGTGTACCGACTTCGAAGCAAGCTGGTGTCATTCAAGTTGCCACGAGGGAGCACCCCTCGGCCTGTGAGGGAGGAAGTCTGGCGGGGGGAAAGGGATGATGACAAGCCAGAGAGATCAGTAACAGAGGAGATCATTGAGTCAAGTCTCACACAGATTGGGGAGGAAATCTCAGATAACTATGAATCTGACCCAGAGAGAAATGATAGTGAAGGCCGATCAGGTAGGAACACAATGCTTGTTGTTTGTTTACATCACCAGTAGAGGTTAAAGGGTAAACCTTTTATCTTCAATTTTAGGTTTGATGCCCAGTAATATTTAACATACATTTAGCAGATCAATGATATTTTTAAACTTATCCTATCTCACGATTTGCTCTTCTCTCTCTTGCTTCGACGCTGAGTGGAACGATTGAGAACTTTCCCTGTAGGCCTCTCTTGTCCATATGGCCGTGTTCCCCAGGCTGCTCTCCTTATAGTATCCCTGGTTAAGCGTGCAGCACGTTCCCGTATCTACCCACGTGACTACCTCAGAATGATCATTCTTCTTCTTGTCGCATGATAGAGTGGACATGTATTGCTCTGAGTTTGAGTTGCTTATTGTGTCATGGGGAAATCTGATCCTTCAAATAAAAAAAGGTTATTTTGGCGCTCAGTTTAAAACAATCTTTTCGTCTTGGGACCCACACATATCGTGTGTTGATGGTGTGGGTCAATGTTCATGGGAGAAATGTTGTGAAAAATGTGCAGGTTATCTACAGAGGATTTTAAGGCTTATAAACGGGTCTGCGTTCGTAAAAGCTTGCAGATAGGGCTCGGAATACCTCTTTCGACCAAGGCCCCTCCCCTATCAAGAAACCACGCCTGGATCATCCCACCCTCACCGCTCATCGTTCAAAATCCCCACCCTCCGTGGCTGAGGATTTTTTTAGACGCTTCTTTAGATTCATACCTCTCAGAAGAGGTACAAAAGCTTTTTGGGACGCTTCCTTCACCTGGTTCAACATCCCAGGTCAGTTCTAGGGTAGTTGTGGTTTTGGTTTCTCGGGCCTCTGGTTCGTCTCAGCCCATCACTACAGTCGCTGCGGTTCACCGATCTGTATCACTTGCGTTACCGGATAAGCCCGTTTCTCTCGGTCAGTACAGACGACCCCGTTCGTTTCACCGATCTATCTCATCGGAACATTCTAGTTCTGCTAGTCGTTCGAGATCACCTCATGGTTTTGTCCCAAACCCTTCTTGTAGATCGATTGAGCGGTCATGTTCACCCCAGTGAAGTGGTTCTTCTCGTCGATCTGTTTTTATAGATCTCACCGAATCTCAGGTCATTTGTTTGGTTACGTACTCATGGTGCGTAGAAGATGTCCCCTCAATGTTTCGGCTTGGGATGAACATTTCAAGGCTGAATTGTTTAGGCAGCCTTGGTCATCAGATATGCTTTTTTGGTGGCAATATTGGAGAGGTTTCTACCAAGGTGCATCAGGAGACTCATTTTCAGGTTTCAGTAGAATTACTGAAAATGCAGAAGTCTCATCTGCAAAATTCCTTAAATCTCATTCCCTCGACCTGCAAGACGCCTACCTTCACATACCGATACATCCGGACCACCAGAAGTATCTTCAGTTCACATTCCAAGGGCACCATTACCAGTGGATGGTACTGCCGTTTGGAATGTCTATAGCCCCATGGCTTTTTACTCAGGTAACCAAACCGATAACAAGCTGCCTGCATTGTCGAGGCGTCACTTTCAAAAGGTATATCGACAACTGTGGTAAAGCTCAGCAGGATCCAGTCGTCCTTCATCTCCACAGGCAGTTCACCATCAAGTTGCTAACGGAGTTGGAGTGAACACCGACCGGTGATTACAGTTCAAAGGGGCAGTATTCGACACACAACAGGCCATGTTGTTTGTGCCCCAGGACAGATGGGACAAGATTCGGCGCATTCTGCCTTTAGCATTGAACTCTGTGCCAGTGGCAGGAGATACTAGGTTTGTTGACGTTGACACAAGCACTGACTTACAGGGGTCAACTGCACCTTCACCCTCTTCAGATGTTCTTGTGCCTGTACATCCGGAACAACAACCCCAAGGAGTTGATCCGTCTTCCCGTACAACTACTACCCGTCCTTCATTGATGGCTCGGACCGCCTCCGTGGTGTAGTGGTTGGAGTGTCTGCCCGGAGAGCGGAAGGTCGCGGGTTCGATCCCCAACCGCGTCATACCATAAGACGTTAAGATATGGTACTTGTTGGTCCCTGCCTGACGCTCGGCATTAATGGGTACAACAAGGACTGGTCGGCTCGGAGTCAGGATAATGTGTCTGAGTGGGGTATTCATGCTTCACTGCGGCATGGTATCTCAGTGGGCTAGCACTATAAAACCAGCTTAAGTCTTGGCTAGTACAAGCAGCCGCACATACACATACACACGCATGCACGTTGTCATATGAGCGAAATATTCTCAAGTACGACGTAAAAACCCAATTTCACCTCACCTCACCTCATTGATGGCTTGACGAGCAGAATGTTTGCGCCAGAGTCTCTATGGTGCCCTTCACATCGACTCTTCGATGTTCGTCGACGCATCCCTCGAGGGCTGGGGTGCCCACTTTCTTCATCTTCAAGTGGCCAGGCAGTGGTCATCCACAGAAAATGCCCTTCACATCAACGATTTGGAATTCAGTGCTGTCATTCTCGCCATTCAGCATTGGGCGGCAGAACTACGGTCGTCCCATCTACTGATTCAATCAGACAACTCGACGGTAGTATGGTACATTAACCATCAAGGCTCGTCAGGCTCGGCAGCTCTGCTCCAGTGGACGTTTCAATTTTACCATCTAATCGATTCTCTCAACATAATGGCCAGGGCTCGACACATTCCTGGGGCAAGCTATGTCATAGTCGAAGCCCTGTCATATCCCAAACGACCATCACCAACAGAGTGGAAATTACTGCCCCTGATATTCCAATCGATGATCTACCCGTTATCACAACCAGACATAGATATGTTCACCACTAGATACAACCATCAGCTCCTGCGGTTCGTGTCTCCAATCCCGGACCCTCAGGCGTGGGACCACGACGCATTATCCATATCATGGGAGGGTCTAAATGCTTATGCGTTTCCTCCCCCGGCTCTACTACCCAAGGTAGTTCAAAAGTTACTGGTGACCAGCAAGATTCGTCTACTTTTGGTTGCGCCCTTTTGGCCAGTGAAAAGCTGGTTCATCGGCCTTAAAAAGTTAGTAGAACCGAACCTAGTACCGCTACCCTCCCGAAACGACCTACTTCATCATCCACATTCGGACGTGTACTGGGTCATAACAAACCCTGAATCTGCACATCTGGTGCATTTACAGAAATCTCTGATAGCCAAGGGTTACTCACATAGAGTAGCTACAGCTATAACATCTGTGCACCGGACATCGACCCAATTGTTGTATGATGAAATTTGAACATTACTGTGAAATTCGGAGGATTAACTCTCCCACCACTGCATCACCTCAGGTTGTTGCAGAGTTTCTACAGCATTTACGAGCTACAAAAAAAATTAAAGGCACTACATTGTCAACCTATCTGGCTGCCATTAATTCGGTTCTAGCCACTACTACTGGAACCAAGGTGTCTACTACTTCCGAGCTCCAGTATCTGCTTCGTTCGTTCAGACTCACTGAACAGTCTAGGAGGTTCAGACCTGCTGCATGGGATTTGTCAGTTGTCCTCTGTCACTTGGTATCCAGTGATTATGAGCCGCTACATGATAAGGAGTTCAAACAAATAACGTTTAATTGTTGTTTCTTTCTAGTAACATTAGCTACTGTGGCTCGTATTTCGGATTTACACACACTTGATGTGATTCATGTTCATTTCGTGCGGAAACGACATGGCAGAGTATTTCTGGGACTGCTTTGGGACTTTGTTGCAAAGAACCAGTTGCCGGGACAACCGGATAGAATATTTGCTATCCCGCCGATGTCAACCATTCTTGGGCCAGATGATGTTGAAGATTTGTCTCTCTGTCCCGTCTAATCTCTACGTATCTTCCTAGATGCCTCCCAAGAGCACCGCCGTCTTCGTAAGAGGCTGTTCATCCCGCTGTCTACTACGTTGAAGGCTGAGGTCTCCCGGACAACATTGTCTTTCTGGATGTGTGCTACTATACTGAAGGCATACGCTTTTGCCGGACTCTCGACCACATCCAATCCACATGAAACCCGGGCGTCAGCCTCTACAATGGCTTTACACAGCAACTGTTCCCTGACGGCCATCATGGAGGGTTGCCTTTGGTTGCAGTTGGAATTCAAGGCAGTCAGCAAAGCAGTTCAACATTGGGCACACCTACTGAGGAATCAATTCCTAATGATCCACACGGACAACTCAACGGTAGCCTTCTACATAAATCTTCAGCATGCTGCAGTCCATCTGGGTCTTAGATGGGATTTTATAGCGAAGAATCAGCCACCAGGTCAATCAGACCGACAATTCCCACGTCCCGGAATTGTCTACAATCCTCAGAGCAAACAATACACAAAACCCTATCTCTGTGCCCAGTGAGAGCTTTGAAGATCTACTTAGAACGGACTACTACAGGAAGGAGGAAGTTCAAAGGGTGTTTTCATCCCGCTATCCCCCGCCACGACTGTTGAACTCTCCCGAGCAACCATTTCATTTTGGATCAGAGCTGTCATCATACGAGCCTACAAAGCAGCAGGGTTAGATCCACCTAGAGCCTCGACACTCGCACTACACAGGAATTGCTCTTTATCGTCCTTTTTGGAAATCTGCTTTTGGAAGTCGGACAAAGTGTTGGCCAACCATTATCCTCGGCATATCGCTACAGAAGATGTGTCCGGTATCCACCAGTTCGGCACCCTTGTAGTAATGGAAATACTCACGATTTCTGCCAGACAATGAGAAACTCACCCTTGTCACGCTGACTTGTTGACTTACCATCCACCTTAGCCATATCCTGGGAGGGAATGAAGGCCTACGCCTTCCCTCCACCGATCCTGCTACCTCAAGTATTACGCAAGATCAACCAGACGAGGGTGCTACAACTCATTTTGGTAGCGCCTTATATTGGCAAGCGAGACTATGGTTCCAAGACCTCATAGATATTCACGGCGAACCAGTTCTACGATTACCAGATTGGCCGAACCTACTCGTCCATCCTCACACCAAGCAGCGTCACGGCAACCCAGAAGCGTTCCAGTTACACGTATGGAGAATATTACGTACTGCTGGAAGAATCGAGGTTACTCCACTAGAGTAGCCAAGGCTGTGACCTTGGCCCTACGAAGATCTACACAAACCTGTATGATGACAAGTTTTGACTACTTGTGTCATCTGAGGTCCACTAGACATCTGAAGGGCTCTACGCTGTCTACATACCTTACGGCAATCAGCTCAGTCATCACCATGAAGACAGGGGTGAAGTTGACCAAGGTGCCTGAACTAGTGGCCTTGCTGAGATCTTTCAAGTTGGAAGATAAACAACAGAAGTTCAGAGCACCAGCATAGGACCTCAACATAGTGTTGCAGCACCTCGTCAGTGATGCATACGAACCGCTGACGCAGACGACTTTTGAGTTATTAACTCAAGAGACGATATTCCTCCTCGCCTTGGCTACTGCTGCTTGGATGTCAGAAATACATGCCCTTGACTTCAGCCGTACGAGATTCGACACGGGAAGAAGGGAAGCAGTCCATCTAGGCCTTAGATGGGACTTTATAGCCAAGAACCAGTTACCGGGCCAACCGGATCGTCAGTTCTACGTTCCATCATTATCAACAATCCTGGGTCCAGAAGACACTCAAGATTTATCTTCATGCCCGGTCAGAGCGCTGAGAATCTACTTGCAGAAATCTGTTACAAGAAGAAGGAAGTTCAAGCGTCTATCCATCCCGCTATCAACCGCTAAGACTGTAGAAGTATCCCGTACAGCGATCTCCTGGATCATAGCAGTGATCCTAAGAGTCTATAAAGCAGCAGGGTTAGAGCCTCCAAGAGCATCAAACCCACATGAAGTTAGAGCTTTGGCCTCGACACTCGCCCTTGTCATGCAGATTTGTTGATGCCAGGCAACTGTCCATTGCCAACGGCTGAGAGTCCATGTTCCCCTGACTTACGAGATAAGTCAGCGCATGAGTGATACATAGACTTAGTTATGGTAATGTTCTTGCCTTAACAGATGGGTCGCGATTCCAGTTTCGGTAAAGTTCTTACCGTAACATATTGGGTCGTTGCAGATATCTAGACAACCAGACGTCTAGTATACTAAATCCACAAAACTTAAGAATGTATAAGAAGGTGGTCCCCCGACAAGCATCAAGAAATATTGAAGTTAGCCGCAGAAGAAGAAAATTCCCAAGGGGTATATATATCAAGTGAACGCTGACGTGAATACAATCATACAGGGAATCCTGTTAGGTGGTTGACCCACCACCGATTCCGTCGGATTCAGTAAGCAAATAAGCATGAGTCAGGATAAGGAAAAATATGTAATTTTTATGATAAAATTGATATTTTGTACTTATCCTGACTCATGAGATGAAGCCCTCCAAACCGTCCCCTCTCACCACACGGGTTTCCCTGTAAACCTACATGGGGCTTATATCGGAGAGAGTGAGGAGCAAGGCATGGCACGTCACGTGCCAGTTTTGGCGGGAAAAGGGAGGTAATTCAGGGTGAGTGATTGTACGTTCGCTTCAAGGGAATTGAAGGGATTCAAGTTTCCACTTGACCGTTCGGAAGAGAGCATGAGAAAGGTTCTTACCTTAACATATGGATCATACTAGATAACTAGACATCAAGGCATACTAGTTTATCTAAAATCCACGAAATCTGTAAAATTTACTTCTTTTATTAATTTAAGAGAAGGTGGTCCCCCGACCATCATCAGAATTCAACACGAAGAAGCCGTAAGAAGAGTTCCCAGGGGGTACATCAGCAGACGTTATGTTGACAGATTCAGTCACAGGGACACAGACCCACCACCTATTCCGTCGGATTCCTTAAGCATATAGCATGAGTCAGGATAAGGAAAAATATGATTTGAAGGGCCTTCCCAACCGCCCCCTTTTAGCACTACGGGCCTCCCTGTAGGTCTTAGTGCGGGCTTAATTCAGGAGAGAGTGACGAGAGCATGTCAGTGTTCAGGTCACGTGGGACACCCAGGGGAGGCAACCCATTGGTGAGTGATTTTAGGTTTGCTTCAGGGAACAAAGGGATTCAAGTTTGCACATAACCGTCGGAGGGAAAGGGAGATAAGCATATAGCGTGAGTCAGGATAAGTATAAAGTATTGATTTTTATCATAAAAATTACATATTGATTCATGACAACTACTCTATCAATAACAAAATTAGGACTAACTGAATTAGATCATAACATCATGTTTAACAATAGAAGACTCTAATTTGACTATGCTAGCTGTATTGGCATATGCAGCAAATTGCATTGTCTTCAAGAGTTACCTGGTGTCTTCTGTATTGAATACATTTGTCACATCCTGGGCACAGACTTGAATGGAAAATAACTTTTCCAATTTGTCTTTATTCAGAGGATGAGGACAGTCAGAGCTGTCGAAGCAAACAGTCCTCAACACCGATAACGTATGAAGATGTTTGCCTCACAGTATTACAGAAGTGTGTGTTCCTGCTGTTGGGAGTGAGGTCCTTTTCAGGTAAGGAACTCATGTAGCATGATAAGGTATAATCTCATCTGCAGATGTTTGTGTAAATACTCCACCAAAATGGTAAACATCGGAGACTTGTATCACTTCTGGTTTCATCACACATCAAGCTGGCCAAAACTGAACCCATGAAGATCTGGGTTAGAATTGGTCTTCAGCAACCAATGCTTGTCATAAGAGGTGACTTATGGTGACTTGATTGACGCTGGTGTATCCCAGTGGCATAGATCAAACTCATGATATGAATCACCATCACATGGCCATAATATTGCTATGTACAGTGTTAAACCATAAACAAACACAATGACTGGTAATTCATGGGTTGTTGTTTCCAGATGAGTCCGACCACCTGACTCAGTCACAGCCACAGTCAGTAGCTGCAAGACAGGAGAGTCTGGAAGAAATATCAGGTGATTCTGTGCTTCTACTGCATCATGTTTTCTATGATAAGCTATGAACAGTTTTGTGACCCAGCAGGCTTATAGTGACATTTGGATGTTGTAGTATTGATCTTGTATATTATCCAGTGCAACATTTCTGTGCAGATGGTCAATTCTCTTCAATTCGCAAAATTCTCACATTACTCATCTGTCCATTGTTCAAGTCTGTGCTGTTTTTTTGTTTGTTCAGACAGTGCATCAGAAAAGAATACCTTGCAGTCCCCTGGGCGTCGAGTGACTAGAAGAGGAAGCTTCCCAGAGATTGCCTCTAGTGAGACTCAGGTAATCAATTCAGGATTTGAGCAAATATAGGAATATCTTGTCACTATCCATTACCTAGCTCCCTATTGCTGGGTATGATTGTTTGTAAAATGTATGACGTTGTTGCAGGAGGAGCTATCAATGAGAGTACGAGACAGAGATGGAACAGCAACACCCAACTTCAACACAACCAAAAGTAGGTGACTTGATGGAAGAATGTCTTTTATTTATTCATAATCAACTTGCTTTGAGAGCAAACAGCTACACAAACAGCAATTGTTTTCACATTCCTCCATACACACTGTTTTAGATAAGTTTTGATGACATGCTCATTACAGTATGATTTGTTTTATCTTGACACCAAAGCTTTGAGAAAGCTGTACAGGTAGAGGGTAATTTTTTATGGAAAGGTATGTGACAGCAGCATTTGTAAGTGAAATTTACAACTGAACACTCCTTTACATGTACTTATCTACTTTATGGTTGGGTCTTCAGATGATGTGTAAATATGCATCTGAATCATAGAGCAAAGTGTGACATCTGTAGCATGTTCAGGCAGGAATGTAGGATCTCTGCAGAAAGTCAAGGAGACACTGAGGCGTATGCGATGGCGGCGGGAGAGACTCGAGGACTTGAAATCATCTGGTCATCATATCTCACTGGTCTCTCTCTACACCGAGACATCACAGAAGAGATTGGCAAGTTTGTGTGTGGAGAGGAGTTAGCATCTTCTGCCAATAAGCAGGAAACAGAACCAGCAGCTCTCAGTGTCAGTATCTCAGTGTTGGGGCAGGCTATGGATCTTCAACAGAACAGAGCTGAAGTAAGGTTCACAATGAATGCTATTTTTCTAAATACGATTTACAAGTTGGAATTTTTATCTTGTGTTATAACAACTGAACTAGATAAACATTTAATAAGGGACAGTTTAAATAAACAATTTCATCACATTTTTCAGATACAGGTAACAAAATATTCATCAGATTCTCATTTATGTTGTCTGATGTTCATACCCAGTGTTTGATTGGAAAACTGGGACTAATGTACTGTCCTTATCTGTTATTTAAAAGATGGAATGTGAAAGACCTGGTGAGCAGTAGTCAGCTGAAACACTCGGTCCTCTTATTTTTGTGACTTTTGTGAGAGGGTTGAAGTTCAATGAAGGTATTTTTGACCTGTCTAGTAAGGCCTGTTATCTGCCTTCCTTTAGTCTCGGCTGTACGCACTGAACCAGGTTGTAGAGTTACTATCTACTGGGAAGGAGAAGTATGAGAACCTCACCTCGGACAGTTCCTCCACCACCACTCTCCTCAACTCAGCCCATCTGCAGCTGCTGGCTGGCTGCTTCGGCCTCCTCGTCCTGCCAGCCGAGGGTCTGAACACCAGCACTCAACTCTACCACTACCAGGTGACTTCCAGCATCCACTGAGCATATAGTGTACTCCTGATGATAGTAACAACACTGAGCATATAGTGTACTCCTGATGATAGTAACAACACTGAGCATATAGTGTACTCCTGATGATAGTAACAACACTGAGCATATAGTGTACTACTGATGATAGTAACAACACTGAGCATATAGTGTACTCCTGATGATAGTAACAACACTGAGCATATAGTGTACTACTGATGATAGTAACAACACTGAGCATATAGTGTACTACTGATGATAGTAACAACACTGAGCATATAGTGTACTACTGATGATAGTAACAACACTGAGCATATAGTGTACTACTGATGATAGTAGCAACACTGAGCATATAGTGTACTCCTGATGATAGTAACAACACTGAGCATATAGTGTACTCCTGATGATAGTAACAACACTGAGCATATAGTGTACTCCTGTTGATAGTAACAACACTGAGCATATAGTGTACTACTGATGATAGTAACAACACTGAGCATATAGTGTACTACTGATGATATTAGCAACACTGAGCATATAGTGTACTACTGATGATAGTAACAACACTGAGCATATAGTGTACTCCTGATGATAGTAACAACACTGAGCATATAGTGTACTACTGATGATAGTAACAACACTGAGCATATAGTGTACTACTGATGATAGTAACAACACTGAGCATATAGTGTACTACTGATGATAGTAACAACACTGAGCATATAGTGTACTACTGATGATAGTAACAACACTGAGCATATAGTGTACTACTGATGATAGTAACAACACTGAGCATATAGTGTACTACTGATGATAGTAACAACACTGAGCATATAGTGTACTTCTGATGATAGTAACAACACTGAGCATACTTAAAATTCACCAAATACACACCATGATGTATACTGAAGGTACTACATAATTAGCCTGGTCAATATGTCAGTGTGCACTCAATTATTCTCAGCTTCCTTGGAAGTATACATACTAAGCTCCAGCTAGCAGATTAACAGTTACATTGTCATGCGATGATGTGTGATGTGTTATTTAACTATGTGATTTTGAATGATATTAAAATTTGAATATTTAAAACTCTCTGGCTTCTTATTGTGCAGGATGGTATTAAAGTAGCCCGCTCACAGACACAGCAGGAGATACAGTTGGCTGTCCATCGGATCTATGAAGCTCTTGTAGCATCTCTCATAGACACATACAAGTCAGAGGTTTTAGGGGAGGGTGAGCATGCCTTTATCTACAGGTCATCTGTAGCTAGAGTACTGTGATTCTTTTTTCAGGATTTCAGATTTGATTCGTCAGGTTATGTAATTGATATGTTAGATATTCAGATGAATAATAAAGCACACAGACAATGATCCAATAACTTTTATGGACACTTCAGTTGAGTAACATTTAACATCTACTATCATAGATTTCAAAAGTACATATATTGCGTCTCACAGTACCAACTGTTGGTTGATATGTTGAACCTGTGTGTTCTCCAGCCACCAAGAACCATCTACTCCTGTCCACTATTCTGGCCCTCAGTGTCAAGTACAAGCCTGTGGATGTGTCACTAGCTGTGTCATGTGGCCTGCTGCCAATGTTGTTCCAGCTGTGTCAGAACTCTGTGTCCCTCCCCAACACTCTTCCACCATTACAGCGGTGCCTGGAGGCCACTCACCTGGGAGCCATACTGCAGGTGTCAAGTCTCAGGCTGCTACAGATCATAGCTGTCACCACAGGGTGGGTAGTGTGTCATCATAACTAGACATGTCTACAGCAAGGAAGGAAGCAATACTGTGGATTTAGCACAGTTTGTGCAGAAGCAAATCACAGTTGTACCTAAACTTTAATCACTTCTTTAGACCCAAACTGTGTTTGAAATTGAAAGGAATCCCAGAGTCCTTGGTGAAGTATTTGAATTGTCTCTTCACAACCTATAATCTGTCATTCTTGTCATTACAGTTTTGACGAGACCCAGACTCTCATGGATGATTTCAAACAGAAGTTTTGAAATGTGAATTCTTTACTGTAGTTATTTTGTGTTGTTTTTCGTTTCTTTTGTGTGGTAACTTTTCAATATAAGATGGTTGTATTGCTATGATATCTGGACATATTGTATTCCAGTACCTATGCTGACCGACTGAGTGTAGGGGTGATTCAGGCCATCATAGAGCTCCTGTGGAAGCACCTGCAGAAACTGCTCTACATAGCTTGCCCCGACCTGGACACAGGGGATGGTTGTGCTGCAGGTGAGGAACCTCTGTATAATGTACTGTATAGTATATGTACTATGATTGTGGTATAATAGATTCCCATAATGTGCTGAAACTCTAATTGAGTAATAGAGTATAATGCTGAAAATATGATATGATGATGATGTGAGGTGAGTGAAATGGGGTTTGGCTACTTTGAACAGTATTTCAGTCTGTTAGGCAGAGTGAAATGCCTTTTACCACAAATGCTTACACTCGTGAAACCTACAACCTACTGTTGACAGACCAAGGAATATAATCTGTTTGAATCTGATTCACACTCTTCTGCAGATCCTAATGAACACAAGTCTTTACAGCAAATTACATCATTTTAGACACTCATGCTTCTGGGATGTACTTAAATAATCATTACATGGACAGAGATATATATTATTTTCCAAAAGGGGAATACATTGCAAATTAACGTATCTGTTTGTTATTTTATTCATATGGTAGAATATATTTTGTCCTGCACAGATGATAGTGAGAATGAGGCAACATCATCCCAGACTGCTGTAGGAGACTTCCTGGTGTTTCTGAGACGTGTTGCAGTCTCCAAGCCCATCCAGCAGAGACTTGCCTACACCCGATGGGTGGATGCTCTGCTGAACATAGCTAGTGGGACAGATGACAGAGGTGTGATGCATGTCATGAGCATCGTCAACTGGAATAACATATTCATAAGATAGCAACACTGTTCATTTGCATAAGTTTCTCAGTGTACAAGCGGAGGATAACTTTGAAACATAAATCATTTAATGTCATTAGGTCAGGTCCTGCTATGTAAGTCTCAGGACTTTCCAATGACCACTTTTATGATCATGCCACTAATATTGAGAATTAAATACAGCGTACCTCTGTGATATCAACTTGAAGGGAACAACACATTGCAGGTTTTGTCTATCATGACATGTAACATGAATCTACTGATAATGCACTCTGATTCCGATTCCGGAGTGTACACGGCAAGGTCTGTGTAGAGGTTTGTGGATAAGGAAACATCCCCATAGGGTCGTCACTGTAATCAGTGGGCATGATGTGTTGCAGGAATGCCATACTTCAGCAATCTAAGGACACGCCTCCTTGCTCTCATCCTGCTGGAGGCTGTGTTGCCAGCCACAGGTGGGGTGGACACAGAATACAAGGACAAGGTCAGTCACACTTGTAACTGAAATTACTGACTTCTTTACTGTGGTTTGGCTGTGCAAGACTTGATTATAAATGACTGCCATTGCATAGCTACAATATTGCTGGTTGTAGCTTGAAACAACAGGTAAATACATTGTCATAAGTTTAGTTTGTTTGTTTGATGTTTAATGCCGCAGCTATATGGCAACAGCCTGTAAATAATTGAGTCTGAACCAGAAAATCTGTTGATCTGCAGCTGTCATAAGTGAGTTATGTGACCGTGCTGATTGTCTGTCATTAACCTGACAATGCAGATCATTATTTTTCCTTATCCTGACTCATGCTAAAGGCTTGTCTCCCTCTTCTTACCTCTTCTCTTGAATGATAGTGGAACACTTGAAATCCCTTGAAGTTCCCTTCTAAAAAGTGGACGTAAAATCATCACTCACCCATGAGTAGTCTCCCTTGCCTCCTTTGGCGCCCTTTTGTATCACATGACCAGCCATGTTTGTCACTCTCTCCTTCTTCACCCTTGAGGACGGTTGTGAGAGCACCTGGGTCCCTATACGGCACATATCCTTTTCTATTTTGGACCTTTACATCAAAATATTGCTGTATACGGCTTTTAGGATTATATTCTACTATATGGTTTGAAATTTGATCTAAATTATACGTTATTTGACATGTTTTTTCATCGTGTTTACATTTGATGAAAACTTGTGTTTGTTGTAGGTACCAGTTGTCTGCAGCTGACCCACATTTATTATGTCCTGATTGCACTACTTCATGTTCTTTCAGCTCTCACTGTAAACATTGTCTGAATTTAACTACTTTTGAATTTGATAACTACTTTTTTTCCATTCATAGACGTGCAATGGACTGGGTAAGAAGGTATTCACAAGTCATGTCTAAATCGAGTGATTGCGCTGATAACCGTGTGTTAACTACTGCTGCCGATGTTCATAATTCCAGTGAATTGCCGAGTGTTTTACGGGGACAGGTCGCTGTTCCAGTGATGAACTCTGGAGCCAATAAGAGATCGTCATCAACGGAGCTGACCTCTTTGCAGACGATCTTTGCAGATGAAGAAGACTAGATCGTCTTCAATGCAGCAGAAGAAGGCTACTACCCCTAAGACTTCGTCGAAGTCTCTACACAGCTCTATGCAGAAGACGAGATCCTTCTCTGCCAAGATTTTACCTCCGGAAGAAGCAGACGTGTATGATGATCCCACCATCCTCATTCCTGAAGTCACAGTCATCAGCAAGAAGACGAAGCCTGCTTCTACAGCTACATCGGCAACTTTATCAGCACAGACATTGACAGAAGACCTTCTATCAACGCAGACATCGGGTACCAGAGATAGCAGCAGCGTCAACTCTTCACAAGTGCAGTGTGCCTTAGAAGACGCCTCATCATTGTCAGAAGCATCATCAACCCTGCAGCAGTCTCTTCAGACATCGCAGAACTTCAACCCGGGGGCTGTTTATGCAACAGTTTACAGACCAGATAATGTCGATGATGGATCGTCACTTCGCGCAGGAGATGCTGCTACGAAGACCACTACGATGACTACTAGCCTACGTGAAGATTAAGCAGTCTCTTCAATGCACTTGGAAGAAGAGGGAAGCCTGCGTGAAGGCTCACGCACACGACGATCTTCCACATCTGCAGTTAGGAGCCTGGACAACGCTACCAACGTCAGTTCAGCCTTAGACGTCCCTGAAGGAGCTGCTAAGAATTCTCCCCTCAGAAGCAGATCGAAGCGTTCTCCCGAACCCTACAGACGTCGTAGTTAGGATTGTCATCACCATCGGACTCAGACGCACATCGGGAACTTGCACGCAGGCACTCCACATCATACAGAGGGCAAACTACGTCTAAGAATCAACCTTCACGAAGGCCTAGAGAGAGATCTCAAGACTCCAGGAAGGATACACGATCACATCGGGATCGTTCAGAAGTATTCCAACTCAAGAGGAGGAAGAGGTTCTTGTTGTCGCCCAACCGAAACCCCCAGAAGTAACCCCGTAAGAGGCTGAGCACCCAGGGGTGCCAGGGGAACCAAGCGCTGAAGGACACGTTTGGAACGACTGGAGTCTTCCACCCCAGTCGTTCTTGTACAACCTTTGACAGTGGGTGGACGTCTTCAACGGTACTGGGAGAATTGGGGAATACTACAGGACGACTAAGTATCCAAGATACTACGCAGAGGATACAAGCAACCCGCTGGCCTTTAACTACGCAGCCGACCAGACAGAGAAACTGGACGACGCAATCAAGACTCTACTCGACAAAGATGCAGTAGAAGAGCTAAATCAAGATCACATCACGCCCGGTTTTTACTCCCCAATTTTCCTGGTACAGAAGAAGAATTCTAAGGAGAAGTTTCGGCTCATCTACAAAATGAGGAAGCTCAACAAGGAGTATCTCCTCAGACCAGCAAAATTCAAGATGATACATCTTCCTCAGCTCCGACATCTCGTTCGTCCATCAGACTACCTCGCCAGTATAGATCTACAAGACTCAAGGAAATACCTAAGATTCCTTTTCAACGGACATCACTTCCAGTGGAAGGTTCTACCGTTAGGAATATAGTCGGCCCCCTGGTTGTTTACTCGAGTGACCAAGCCCATCGTCACATATCTACATCTACAGACGAAAATTCAAGCGCCTATTCATCCCCTTTTTCACTGAGACACTCACGGAAGTCTCACAGACAACGGTATCGATATGGATGAGAGCCGTTATACTAATTGCCTATAAAGCAGCAGCACTTGCTTTTGGAAATCGGACACGGTGTTTGCCAACCACTACCTCAGAGACATTGCCACCGAAGACGTCTCAGGCATTCACCAGTTTAGGCCATTTGTTGTAGCACAACAACTAACGGTCCACAAAGGCGCTGAGAAAAATCTCACCCTTTTATCACATGACTTGTGAAAACCAACGCTCTGGAGAGCAAATGGTTAAAGTCCATGCACACGTCTAGGACAGGCTAGCATGAGTGATAGACCCTGTACTTGTATAGGACATACTGACTCGTACATGAAGAAGGGTTGCATCTCCACTTGATGCATGCATCAAGAGATGGAGTTGCAATAGATGACTAATGCAACATTAGTATATCTAAAATCCACACGAAAATGTCAGAAGTTTCGGAAGAAATCTGACAAGTTGTGGAGGCAAGGGAGACTACTTGTGGGTGAGTGATGATTTTACGTCCGCTTTTTAGAAGGGAACTTCAAGGGATTTCAAGTGTTCCACTGTCATTCGCAAGAAGAAGGAGACAAGCATAAAATATCAGGATAAGTATAAAATATCAATTTTAGTCAGAAAATTACATTATCCTGTCATCAAACTCTGGTTTGCCAAACCAACTCATGCTATTTTACAGGCCATTGTTAGAGTTAAATAATGTTGATTGAATGTAATACACAGTTCACACATTGACTTAGATTTGGGATTCAATTTTGTATTGATGATTCAGTAAGTGACTAGTAATGACGGTTGCTAGAACTCTATTGGCCTTCTGGTCCTGGATTAAGATTTATGGTAACCTGGCTAGCTGATTTTGATTATGATGAAAGTTTAGAAAGGGATTTACTAGTTTCTTCTAGTTTCATCACAGCATTTTGACCATATGTATACATATATAATATTAAGAATAGCTGACATCTGGAGGTTGAAGGTAAACCACCTACATTACATTAACAATGCAACTGCTTGTTTACCTAATATATATCTTTCTATCATTTGAAGGTTGTGGGGCAGCTGTTTGACAGTCTGTCCAAGAATATGTGGCTGATACCAGTAGCAGAAGCCATGCAGAAGGCACAAGACAGGAAAATGAACCTTTTAAGAAAAATAGAAGCCTTAGAAAACTCTGGTGAAGTGTCCGGTGCCACCAACATTGTAGACTCTATAATGATGCAGGGAGCATGCTTTGACCCCGAGAAATGTTTGAACAGCAGCGTGGAGGCAGGACATACCCTGGTACATGGAACAGGAGGCAGGGGGTTCGGTATTGGTAGCACAGCTGTCACGTCTGGCTGCTATCAGTGGAAGGTAGGCACTTGTTACACACCAAGTGGACGGGGGTAATAGTTTATTGTCATTCATAACTTCTGCCTGTGCAATATGGATATATGTTAGGGTTCAGTACACAGATCACACAGTGTTATACAGTGCCTCAATTTGTTGTGAAAAGTCACTTTTTCTGATAATGTAAGGATCTGCTTGTTGTGGGTTGAGATCTGGGATTTGCCCGCATCATGATTGTTGGTCTGTCTGCAATGCACTCACATCTCAACTTTGTATCCTGATCTAAGAATCCTTTTTTTGTTTTTGTCTGTTATGCGATTCTCAAATTTGGAACAAAGGTCTTTTGAATAAAGTAACCAAGTCTTATACTTGGTTGTAAATGACTACAATACATACATGCTTTCTTGAGAAAACAACTGTTCAGTTTTGTCCATTGTTCTGTTTTTTCAGTTTCTGATAGTGAAAGAGAACCGGTGTAATGAAGGTACTTGTGTGGGTGTGTCCAAGTGGCCAGTGCGCGACCATGGTCACCGTACAACATCGGACATGTGGCTGTACAGGGCATACAGTGGCAACCTCTACCACAATGGGGAACAAACACTGACACTACCTAACTTCAGCCAGGGAGATTACATCACTGTCATTCTGGACATGGATGCAAGGACACTTGCATTTGGCAAAAATGGAGATGTAAGTATTTGTGCCAGATGTTTCATCGAATCTTGTTCATGACCAAGGGAAGGAATATAGAATGATATGAATATAATCTATTTTCAGAATATTGACTCCTTAGAATATCCATATTCTTCATAGAGATCGTCCTTGGGGTACATATTATGCATTTTCCAAGCTGAAAATGTCCTGTGACAGTTGTATCAATGTTTTTTGAATAAAAAGATTGTACAATAAATAAACTCTTTTATTTATTATACGGCCCCCACCTCACAGAGTTACCTCCCGTTACGCATGCGCACCAACTGGGTAAGCACCTAGGCCCGTATCATCATTCCTTCTGCTGTCACTGCCTCTAACAGACGTATGTGTCGAGCGGAGCTGACCTTTTCTGAGAGAAAGAGTATAATGTCTGAGACACCACCTGTATGTATGGTCTTTATTTTGTCCTCGTAAAGGAACAGTAAAGCTTTGCGGTCGGTTGTTTCATAATTGTGACTTTGTATTAATTATTTTACGCTAACTTTCCCGTGGTTTATGCACATGTTGCTCTGCCATGGCGGGAAGTTTAGCGTGCCATGTGGTTGTAATATTGCGTATTGAACCAACTATTTCTTCCCGTGGTAGCCTTCACGTATTTTTCAATGTTTTCTACGTGTATCTTAGCTGCTGGTCCGCCGTTAGCTACATGCTTGCGTGTTTGCTTTCAGGCGTTTTCCTCCTGTTCGCTCTGTGGACAAAGTATTCCACGGGCCGACAGACACGACAAGTGTATCTTGTGCTTGGAAAAGACCGGCCTTGAGGCCGAAACTTGTAAAATTTGTCTTGGGTTTTCCCCCCGGGCCCAAAAGCGGAGGGCTGCCGATACTCTCTTTTACATAGAGATGCGGGAGGCGGGAGGGGAACTTACCCAGGTCCCCCCGTCTAAGGCTAAAAAGCCGCACTCTAAGGGAAAAAAATCCCGTAGCCAGTCCCCTTCTCCCGTCCTGGTAGCGGTTTTGATATGACTATAATCACACAGATGTTTCAGCAGCAAGCAGACTCGATGAAGTCCCTCGTTCATGAGACGGTTGGAAGACTCCGGCAGGAGTTCTCGCCCACTCTGAGCGTGGGGCGGAGAGTCTGGTGGGGGATCGCTGAGCCCGGCTCGATCCCTAGGCCTTGAGGCGTCTGTAGACCCGTTGCCTCTGGCTTCGGGTCCGGATGCCTTGGCTGCCCCAGAGGGGGAGGTGCTCCCAGTCCCCCTCTCGGAGTTGGCGCAGGGACCGTTGATGATTCCTGGGGTTCCGATCCCTGCGCCCTCCCGCCCCATGAGAGCACAGGCACCAGTTCTGCCTGGTATGCCTCCAGCATCTCCGGACCGGGATCCGTGTATGCCTGCAGGCACTGACGCGGGGCGCTCTGTCTGCACCTCCCTCTCTGTTGTTCCTAGTGCTAGGCAGCCCACCGGGTCGGGGTTCGGGTCCTCTTCGCGAGGAGACTCAGCCTCAGACTCGGGCTCGGGCGCCGAGTTGATGGATACTGGGGAGGTCGAGGAGCAGGAGGATGCCTTCCGTTTCTCTTCGGCTCTGCGGGAGGTCCGGCAAAGGATTGCTGAGTACCTACCCCAGGCCACGGTGCCTGTTAGCAGCTCGGACTCGGCTGAGTTCCGCTTGCCAGGCGAGGCGTTTGCCCCTAGGCAGCCTACGCAGACGCAGCTCCGCATTGTTCCATCGTTAGTCCAGGACGTGGTCGATCCCCTCTTGTCTGGTTCTCGCCTCCGTTTTGACTTGCCCGAGCTTGTCCGGAGATACCAGCTTGGGGAGGATTCCCTGTTCGCGGTACCTATCGTGGATGAGTGTGTATTCACTTCAGTCGCCTTGGGGGGAGGCTCGGCTTCCTCCGGAGCAGCTCCGGCTGCTCGGCAAGGGCGTGTGACTCCACCGTTTGCCCTCGTGGGGGCCCCCCTGCGGCATGCGTACCGTACCTACGAGGAGGTTTACAGGAACGCTATGCAGCAGGTCAGGGTGGTGGTCCATGAGGCCTACCTCTCCTCGATTCAGACGTCGGCCCTGGAGGCGGAGGGGCATGCTGGTGATGTTTCACCGCATGTCGTGCTCCTCCGGCAGTTGTCTGAAGTGCAGGCCCACCTCGCGCGCGACTCTTTGCGGTCTGCTGCGTCGATGGTGATGTGCGCAGTCATGGGGATGCGCAAGCTGTGGCTGTCGACGTCTCGTTACTCGGCAGCGACACAGCAGACCTTGCTGGCCCTCCCCTTCCGTCTGGGAGCGACCCTCTTTCCAGGGGCACAGCAGGTCATGCGGGAGGCTGCCGCTGCAGCTACCTCCTTCAAGGACTCTAAGGCCTTGTTGGAGCACCCGCGGGTGTCTCGCCCACGCGCTCACGTTCCACCTTCCTCCGCAGGGGTGCAGCCTACACCCGAGTCCGCTGGCTGGCTTCGGCCGCTTGGCAGGGGTAAGCAGAGGCACAGGTCCGCAAAGGGTAAGGGCAAGGAGCAGTCCTCGACTAGCTCCCAGCCTTTTCGCGGGCGCGGGAGGTCTGCCCCGACCTGATCGACAGCCTGATGGGTTAACGGGAGGTCGGGGCTGGAGAACGTGCGAGCAGATGCGCTCTCTCGCCGGATCCTGGCCCCACACGAGTGGATGCTCGACAGGCAGATTTTCAGAGTAATCTCCCAGTTGTACGGGTCGTTCCAGGTGGATCTGTTTGCGTCCGGCGGGACGCATCAGACACCCGTGTTCTGCTCTCGGATACCGGACCCAGGGGCGTTGGCTGCCGACGCCTTCCTGCTGGATTGGACGGGCAAAGTGCTCTGGGCGTTCCTGCCGTTACCACTCATTCCCCGTGTCCTTTCACAGCTGTCCACCCAGCCAGCTCGGCTACTTGTGCTACTGGCACCGCTTTGGCCGTCACAGAGCTGGTTTCCGGTAATTCTCAGGTTTCTGGCTCAGCCTCCTGTTCTATTACCTTTACGACCGGACATTCTCACTCAGAACGGAGCACCCCACCCAAATCCACGGATTCAGTGGGTGGCTTGGCCTCTGTCAGGTCTAACCTCGAGGCACGCGGAATTCCTGCAGCAGTTGCAGACACAATTCTGGCTTCGAGGCGGGATTCGACAAACGTTCAGTACGAGGATAGGTGGTCCCGCTATGCGCGCCGCTGGTGTTCAGATAGGGGCATTGCAGATCCCTTTTCTGCGGATTTAGTCCGAGTATTGGAGTTTTTGCAAGCTCGTTTGGAAGAAGGCCTGGCGGCTTCAACCATTCGTGGCTACTCCACCGCTATTTCCACTTTTCACAGACCTGTCGATGGTACTCTTCTGGGGCAGCACCCTCTCGTACAGCGCTTTCTTGCTGGCGCGGAACGGATTCGACCTGCGCTCAGGCGAACCAGTCCACCTTGGGATTTGTCAATTGTGCTAGATTGGCTGTCCGGTCCAACTTTCTCACACCTATCGGCTATTTCCATTCAGTTGTTAACTTGGATAGCTGTTTTTCTGGTGGCGGTAACATCTGGACGTAGGGTCGGGGATTTACATGCTATGTCGTCCGACCCGGCGCTGACTGTGTTTCACACGTATCGTGTCAGTATTCGCCTCCCAGATACTTACCGACCGAAGGTCGATCACGCTTTCCATGTGACAGCTCCTATCGAACTTCCTACTCTTACCCAGCCTTCCACATCGGGGACCACTCCTACGAGCACTCACCCGTTGGATGTCCGTAAGACGCTAAAAGTCTATATCAAATGAACGCAGGGAATCCGTACAGGTACCCAGCTGTTCTGTTGTTACGGTGGCGGGAAGGCTGGTGTGCCAGCGAGCAAGCAGACTTTGTCTCGCTGGCTAGTTTCGTGTATTTGTGCCGCTTATCAGGCTAAGGGCAAGCCTCCCCCTGTGGGGTTGAAGGCTCACTCGGTCAGGGCAGTAGCCGCATCAAAAGCTTTTGCATCGGCACTCCCAATTGAAGAGATCTGCTCTGCCGCTATTTGGAGCCGGCCAAGCACGTTTATATGGCACTATCAGCTCGATACACATTCCCGTAATCGTGCGAGCTTTGGCCGTACGGTTCTCTCCAGTGGACAGTGTCCTGCCACCCTGACCGAGTGAGTCTTGATTTATTGGTTTGTTTTTGACACTGCTGTACAATAATTGCGTATTATTGACATATCTGCTACTGTGAGCTAACTACATGTACCCCCTCTTTCGATTCTCTCAGGAGTTATTTGTCGAATGTGAGCGGTATTTACATTCCCCCCTACGGTGCTCACTAATAGACACATGGTGGGTGGGGCTTTGTTGACATTCGCACCACGTGCGTTGTCTCACTATGCTAAATGGAGGTCGTCTTTGAGTACACTTCCTCCCTGTCAGTTCCCCTCCCATAATGCCTCCCGCGGACGCGAAAACTGGGACATACGACAGGTGAGTGTCATGGTGTCTGTTACATTTTTTTCCATTAACGATAGCTATTTGTGTGTGCTTGGACAGAATTCCCTCCTCCCTGGCCTCCGGTCTTTGGGAGTCTGTGTTTATGCATAATATGGACGATCTCTATGAAGAAGAATTAACCAAACCTGAAGAGGTTTTCAATTCTTCGGAAGAGAGTCGTCCTTGGGGTAGGGCCTCCCGCCTCCCCGCAATTCTGTTCACTGATATATTCAGCAGAAGGAATGATGATACGGGCCTAGGTGCTTACCCAGTTGGTGCGCATGCGCAACGGGAGGTAACTCCGTGAGGTAGGGGCCGTATAATAAATAAAAGAGTTTATTTATTGTACAATCTTTTTATTCAAAAAACATTGATACAACTGTCACAGGACATTTTCAGCTTGGAAAATGCATAATATGTACCCCAAGGATGACTCTCTTCGAAGAATTGAAAACCTCTTCAGGTTTGGTTAAGTTTTGATGAATGTACCGTTGGTTGCAGGACCCTAGAATTGCCTTTGAAGACTTGGATGCTGCAGAGCTTTATCCTTGTGTGACCTTCTACAGCAGCAACCCGGGCGAAAAAGGTAATGTCACATTTAGTATTTCTCATGTACAATCAACCTGCTGCAGTTTAATGCCATTTATGTTTAATAAAATTCACTACTTACATCAGTCTATTGAGAATAAAATGTTTCATGTAGCTGGTACTTTTCTATAATCATTTATATAGTGCTCAATAGCTAAAAAAAGACTTGGGCCAAGATTTTCGAAGCTCTCTTAGCGAAAGATAGTCGTAAGTTAATGTTAATGTTAATATATGGCACTTACGACCTTCTTACCGCTAAGAGAGCTTCGAAAATCTAGGCCTTGGTTCCTTAATATTACTATGGTTAATCTATTATGTCATGCCATAAACATGAACGCTTACCTTCATGATTCTTTTGCTGTTCAGTATATTATGTCATGACAGTTTCACTGTAGTAATATTTTAAGATTAGAATTGTGTGTTCTTTAACTTTCCTTTCGTGGCATATATTGATGTTATTTAGGTGGGTAATTAAGAATGATAAAGGCATAAAATATCTATATTTCAGGACTGCTTCTTTCCTCTATAAATGTTTCATGTCTTTTTTTTCTTCCAAGTTCTAAATGCCAATCAACAATATTGTTTATTCTTTTTCATAGAGATCGTCCTTGGGGTACATATATGCATTTTCTGTGACTGAAAATGTCATGTGACAGTTGTATCAATGTTTTAATAAAAATATTGTACAGTAAATAAAAATCTTAGGAATTACGTGATAAAAATCACGTAAGCCAACCAGGTAAGCACCTAGGCCCGTATCATCATTCCTTCTGCTGTCACTCAAGCGTTCACATGTATTTACACCCTTAGTTACAAGTTCAATTACTTCGTGTTGAAGAATGTCTGAGACTTCAACAACTGTATGTATGGTCTTTATTCTTTCTTGAACAAGACAAAGAACAGTTTAATTGACTTTGCAGTCTGTTATTTCTCATTTCTGTGACTTTGTATTAAATCTTTACGCTAACTTTCCAGTGGTTTATGCACGTGTTGCTATTCCATGGCAGGAAGTTTAGCGTGCCAAGTGGTTATCATATTGCGTTATTAACCAAGTATTTCTTCCCGTGGTCGCATTCACGTAATTTTCAATGTTTTGTATGTGTATATTTATACTGCTGGTTCCGCTGTTAGCTACATGCTTGCGTGTTTGCTTTCAGGCGTTTACTGGGTGTTCTGTCTGTGGGCAGAATATCCCTAGAGCCGACAAGCATGATAAATGCTTGTGCTGCTTAGAGAAGGTGGGACATAACCCTGATGTCTGTGAACTTTGTATGGACTTTTCCCCCCGGGCCCAGAAGAGAAGGGCGGGACCTTGGTTCGATTAATGTGTCGGTTGCTGGATAGGGGAGTTCCTTCGGCTCTTCCCTTCCCTCGGTGTCTGGGGCTCGGCCTCCCACCAGGTCGGGGTACGGATCCTCTGCACGAGGAGACCCGAATTCTGACTCAGGCTCGGGTGCCAAGTCTATGGATGTTGGGGAGGTCGAGGAGCCGGAAGGCACTTTCCATTTCTCATCGGCTCTCCGGGAGGTTCGGCAACATATTGCCGAGTATATTCCCTAAGCCGCAGTACCCACATGTCACTCGGACTCAGCTGAGTTCGCCTGTCCGGCCAGGCGTTTGCCCCTAGGCAACCCTCGCAGACACTGCTCCGTATCTTGCCTTCCCTGGTGCAGGACGTGATGGATCCCCTCCTGGTTGGGACACGCCTCCGGTTCAATTTACCCGAACTCGTTAAGAAGTACCAGCTGGGGGACGATTCTCTGTTCTTTGTCCCGGTGGTTGACAAGTGCGTGTTCACTTCGGTCGCCCTCAGGGGAGGCTCGGCTTCCTCAGGTGCAGCCCCTGCTGCGAAGCAAGGGCGTTTAGTTCCACCGTTTGCCCTAGCGGACCCCCCTGCAACAGACATACCGGACTTATGAGCAAGTCTACCGGAATGCCATGCAGCAGGTGCAGGTGGTGATCCATGAGGCCTGGCTTTCCTCTATTCAAAGGTCGGCTCTGGAGGCAGAAGGGGGCACTGGGGACGTTTTCCCACATGTTGTTCTGCTTCGCCAATTGTCCGAAGTGCAGGCCCACCTACCGCAAGACTCTTTGCCGTGTCTATGGTGATGTGCGCAGTCATGGGGATGCGCAAGCTGTGGCTGTCTACGTCCCGTTACTTGTCAGCAACACAGCAGACCTTGCTGGCCCTTCCGTTCCAGCTGGGAGCAACGTTGTTTCCGGAGGCACAGCAGGTCATTCAGGAGGACTCATTCATGGACTCTAAGGCCTTGTTGGAGCATCCGCGGGCTTCTCGCTCCCGCGCTCCCATAGCGTGTTCCTCCTCCGGGGTGCAGCCTACACCCGAGTCTGCCGGCTGGCTTCGGCCTCTGGGCAGGGGTAGGAGGAGGAGCCGTCCCACCAAAGGTAAGGGCAAGGAGCAGTCCTCTTCGTCTGGCTCTCATCAGCCTTTTCGCGGTCAGGGGGTGTCTGCCCCGACCTCCCGTTAAACCTGCAGGCTGTCGCCGTGGGTCTGTCCCAGTCAGTTCATCTGCAAGGGACCACTCACGCCCTCCTACCACGCATCCCAGTGGGGGCCGCCTCTCTCTATTCCTGCTGGAGTGGGAGAGGCTACCAGCAACACTTGGGTGCTATCCACCGTCAGTGTCGGCCATCTCCCACTGTGGAAGCGAGGCCCGCCAGAGTTCACCGGCATACGTCGCACTCTGGTGCCGTCATGTCCGGTCAGAGCGGGTATACTGCGAGGCGAAGTTCAGGCTTTGCTGGACAAGTCCGCAATAGAGCGCATACCACCGGGCAAGAACAGGCGGGATTTTATTCTACGTACTTCCTTGTCCGAAGAAGGACGGCGGATTCCGTCCCATTCTCAACCTCAAGGGGTTGAATCGCATGCTAGAGGTTCCATCCTTCAAGATGGAGACACTTTGCTTGGTGATCTCCTCTGTTCAGCCCAGCGATTGGCTTACGTCGATCGACCTAAAGGATGCGTATCTACATGTGCGATTTCATCCATCATTCAACCCGAAGAAATGGGTTACCAATTCACGGTCCTGCCCTTCGGCATATCCACTGCCCCCAGGGTGTTCACTAAGCTCATGTTAGTGCCATCTACCCTCGCAAGGTCGCAAGGAAGGCGTTGTTACCCTAACCTCGACAACTGGTTGCTCATCACTCTAACTCAGCCAGCGAGCCTAGATTCTACCCACACGGTGATAGACATTCTAGTTCGACTGGGATGGATCATAAACCTCAAGAAATCTGACCTGGTACCCACTCACAACTCACCCGACCGGGTCACTAGAGTAAGGGAGATGGTGTCTTCATTCCTCTCCCAGCCACAGGCACCAGCACGGACTTGGCTTCGTCTACTGGGTCATATGGCGGCAACTATCTCTGTAGTGTGGCGGGCACGGTAAAGGATGCGCCCTATACAGCAAGCTTTGGCGAGTCTGTGGGCTCACTCGGAGGATCTGGAGCAGTGTCTCAGCCTCCTGTTCTATTAGCTTTGCGACCGGACATTCTCACTCAGAACGGCACGCCATACCCCAATCCAAGGATTCAGTGGGTGGCTTGGCCTCTGTCAGGTCTAGCCCCGAAGCACGCAGAATTCCTGCAGCAGTTGCAGACACAATTCTGGCTTTGAGGCGGGATTCGACAAACGTTCACTATGAGGATAGGTGGTCTCGCTATGCGCGCTGGTGTTCAGATAAGGCGATTGCAGATTCCTTTTCTGCGGATTTAGTCCGAGTATTGGAGTTTTTGCAAGCCCGTTTGGAAGAAGGCTTGGCGGCTTTGACCATTTGTAACTACTCCACCGCTATTTCATCTTTTCACACCCCTGTCGATGGTGCTCTTCTGGGGCAGCACCCTCTTCTAAAGCGCTTTTTAGCTGGCGTGGATTGGGTTCGACCTGCTGTCAGGCGAACCAGCCCACCTTGGGATTTGTCAATTGTGCTAGATTGGCTGTCCGGTCCTACGTTCTCAGGTCTATCGGCTATTTCCATTCAGTTGTTAACATGGAAGGCCGTATTTCTGCTGGTGTATAGGGTCGGCGACTTACATGCTATGGTGGCAGACCCGGCGCTGACTGTGTTCCATCCAGATCATGTCAGTATTCGCCTCCCGCATACTTACCGTACGAAGATCGATCACGCTTTCCATGTCACAGCTCCCATCGAACTTCCTACTCTTACCCAGCCTTCCACATCGGGGACCTCTCCAACAAGCACTCACCCGTCGAATGTCCGAAAGACTCTCAAGGTCTATATCAAACGAACACAAGGGATCCGTACGGGTACCCATCTGTTCTGCTGTTACGGTGGCGGGAAGGCTGGGATGCCGGCGAGGAAACAGACCCTGTCCCGCTGGCTTGTTTCGGTCATTTGTGCTGCTTATCAGGCTAAGGGCAAGCCTCCCCTGAGGGGTTAAAGGCTCACTCGGTCAGGGCAGTGGCCACGTCAAAGGCTTTTGCATCTGCACTACCCATTGAAGACATATGCTCTGCCGCTATTTAGAGCAGGCCTAGCACTTTTATCAGGCACTATCAGCTCGATACACATTCACATGATTGTCTTGGTTATCTTGACAGTTGACGCTGCTTTCAATTGTGTTTTATTGATATGTCCGCTGTTGTGTGATCTAACTCCTTTCGATTCTCTCCAGAGATTATGGTCGGTTGTGAGTGTTTTTTCCCCCCTATGGTGCTCTCTAACAGACCATGATGTGGGTGGGGTTTTTTACTTTCGCACTGTGTGCGAACTTGCTATGCTTAACCTACAAGGTCGTCTCTAAGTACCTATCCTCCCTGTCGGTTACCCTCCCATAATGCCTCTCGCTGAAGCTTCTGGACATGTGACAGGTGAGTGTTGTGGCGTCTGTTACATTCTTCCTAATGATCGCTATTTATGTGTACTGACAGAATTCCCTCCTCCCTGGAGTTTATGCATATATGTACCCCAAGGACGATCTCTATGAAAAAGAATTAGCTAAACCTGTAGAGGTTTCCAATTCTTTGAAGAGAGTCGTCCTTGGGGTAGGGCCTCCCACCTCCCCGCAATTCTGTTCACTAATTTATTCAGCAGAAGGAATGATGATACGGGCCTAGGTGCTTACCTGGTTGGCTGCACATGCGTAGCAGGGAGGTAACTCCATGTGGTGGGGGCCGTATAATAGATAAAAAATATTTTTATTTATTGTACAATATTTTTATTAAAACATTGATACAACTGTCACATGACATTTTCAGTCGCAGAAAATGCATATCCGACCCCAAGGACGACTTGGAAACCTCTACAGGTTTAGCTAAATTCTATCACCTCTGTCATTGTGCATATTATTTCTTTATTCACAAATGTAACACATGAGCACAGTAAAACATGTCAGTGTTTTCTGTCACAGGTGAAGATAACCGACATGCAGCTACGAAGCACCCCCAGGGACCTGCTGCCTGGGGACCCCCACTGTGCCCCCACTGTTGGGGTGATGGTAGAGGCAGGTATCACATTGATCAGACACCTGCACACAGTAGACTCGTGGACCTCACATGTCAACAACAAGGTATACAATGTGCTGGCTAGGATACATAGCAATCAGATGGCTACCACAGACACACTGGAGGAAGAAAGACAACCAGAGGAACAAGCAGGTGAGTTGAAGTCAATACCATCTAAACAAGTCAATACAATCTAAACAAGTCAATCAAAGTTTCAAACTCTACTACTGGCCCTGTATTTGATATCATTGACACATTTTTAGTTTGTAAACAGTAATAAATATCTTGAGTGTAAAAAAGACAGCTTAACAGGTTCAGTACAAGGGAGATGATTGATTTCATGTGATTCTGACACCATGATAACTGAAAATGGCACAAATGCCTGCAAAGCAATGTGAATTCATGCAATATCTTGTGTGGAGACCAGTTTGGGATGATACATAGGAAACCTGGGGGTTATTAATGTTCATCATACAAGTTTCATCAGGTGTGTACTTTACTTGGTAGAATTGCATCTAACCTGCATGTTTACAGATAAGAGCTCTAACAAATTGAGTAATAACTGTGATGAAATGTTACACTTATTATTATTACTTGCTGTCATAAGAGGCGACTAACAGGATCGGGTGGTCAGGCTCGCTGGCTTGGTTGACTCATGTCATCGATTCCCAATTGCGCAGATCGATGCTCATGCTGTTGATCACTGGATTGTCTGGTCCAGACTCGATTGTTTACAGACCGCCACCATATAGCTGGAATATTGCTGAGTGCGGCGTAAAACTAAACTCACTCACTCACTATTATTACTTGCAGTATTTCATCTCACTGACTTACAGTTGTAGTTGTTACCAGTGTTTATAGGGCATCAAATTTACCTCAGTGTCTATTCAACTTTATACAGGAGCTGAATCCCTCGAGTTTCCAGAGAGTGCACCGGATAAAGTCCACCCACACCACATGCTTGCAGACCAGGTCTCGGAGTTTATGCATGAGGGTAACCTGGACTGGTTGTGCCAAGAGGTACTACTTCATAATACTGGCAATGTGGTAGTTAATGTGATACTGATGTCCTTTCTGTGTGATAAGGTGGAGGATAATTCATGGTACACTATTGAGATATTCAGATATTTTGGCCTTATATTGTTTTCTTGCTATTGCCTCTATAATAAGTGACCAGTCCCTTATGTACGGTCACTAGTCAACAATGAATTACTTCTCACCATCAGGTTCTAATCTAACCTTACTTGTAGAAGTATATGTACACTGTGTTCATTGCAAGTGACTTCCTTGTCTGGTGTATCTCTCATCACTTTAACACATAAGCATCATAACGAGCTGCTGTGTGATTCTGCAGGTGTGGCCCTGCATGGTTGTTATTGGTGGGACAGATCGAGGTCTGAGAGTGGGAGGCCGGTGCCTGCACAGACTCACTGGGAAGAAGGGGACGGTGCTTGGTCTGGCCCGAGAAGGAGCTGTAACAGCCAAGGTGCAGTGGGATGAAGGCGATACAACTGTGGGGTAGGTGTAATGAAATGGAGAAATCATGAGTGAGTGAGTATGGTTTTACGCTGCTTTTAGCAATATTCCAGCAAGATCACAGCGGGGGACGCCAGAAATGGGCTTCACACAATGTACCCATGTGGGGATTCGAACCCAGGTCTTCGGCATGACCAGTGAACGCTTTGACCACTAGGCTAGCCCACTGCCCCAGAAATCATGAGAATCTGTTGGTTTTTCTGTTGGTTGGTGATTTCTCTTGCTTAATGGTGGATAAAATATTTCCCTTTTATTTTGCACAGTGATCTGTAGTAAGTTTTACTTGTTATAATGGGACATTCAGAATTGCTTGTGAATTCGTATCTTGAATGAACGTCTGCTTGATATTATCAACTCTTGTGCCTTTTCCTTGAATCTTTTTGCTGCCTAATATATGGTACCTTTTTGTTTTAAAATTGTTCCACTGCAGGTTTCTAACTAATGATTCAGATTGACATGGATGATGGGTTCTAGAAACAACAAATGACCCCATTAATCTGATCTATTTTTCCAAGTATCTGAAGGGTATTCATATTGGTCTGAAATGGTGAAAAACAACATCTAACCAAGATTTCAGATATTATTTTTATATCTTGAATGTCAGTACCTTTGTAGGCTGTTTTTATGAAAAACATATTCCTCAACATATATTTCCTGATTCCAGTGACACATCTCTAAGCAACCTGGAAGCTGTAGAAAGTATCCCATTTGCTATTACCAAATTGAGCGGTATTGGAGCCCACCACCTAGAAGCCATAATGGAGATGACCTTCCTGTTGACTGAGAAAGCACCATCAGATGTTGCTGTATCCCCGACATCACCCAACACTGGGGACAAAGACAAGTCAGCCCCTGAACCTGAGGCCAAGGAAAATGAAGATGCCCTCATGAAGGAGCTAGATGCAGACATAGCCCGCATCCTGGATGAGGAAGAAGCTAAAACTGTGGACTTTGATCACAATGCTGACAAGAAGGCCTCTACTGAATCTGATGAAGAGCCTGCACCAAGAGGAGACAATGTTCTAAGTGTGGAGCCTTCACTGGGAGTTCGTGACTCCTCAGAGGACATTGCTGAGGTAACAGATAGTTCAGGAGATCAGTGGTTCGAGGCTGAGAGTGATACTGTTGCCAGATCAGAAGAAAATGTTACAAATGCTGTCACTGAGTCTGGAGGAGCACAGAGGGAGGCTGATGCAGAGGTATCGAACAATGCTGCAGACCCAGTAGATGAGGAAACAGAACAACCTGATGTCATGACAACCACACAGTGTTCAAATATGACTGTCAGTGACTCAAGTACTCTTAAATACTCAACAGATGAAAAGGAACTGAAATCTGTGAAGTACGCTGCAATACAACTGTCAGCACTGAAGGCTCTTTCTGTGATTATCTGCAACAATAAGTTCACAGAGATGTTACTAGTGCCAAAAGAGAAGGTCAGATTGGATGCCACCAAAGGATTACTGGAGGGTATCATTCCACAGAAGGATGAAAAACTGAAGAGTGTTCTAAGAAGTATTTTGAAGCTGATGGTGCAGAGAGCAACAATGCCATCTCCATTCCGGAGAGTTGTGTCTCTCAGTGAGCTGGAACGAACTCTGAGTGTCTTGCATAAATCCATGGTCACAGTTCAGGCAGATGAGAAGCTGGGTCTACAGGAATATGAAGGTACTTCTTATAGGAATATTATAGAATAGGCCTCAAGCCATTATTTGTCACTAAGGTGACTTAACCTGAAGTAGTTAGCCTTGTGACTTGTGACCCAACAGTTATTAGACATTGTTCATAATATGACCTATTTGTTAATCACTCTTAGACCCAATTGTCTTCAGGATAAAGCTGAGCTGACTGGCAGAGATTAGAGTGTTATCTGATAAGTAGACATGAACTGGACAAAATGAATGTTACTGCTACTGTAAATGACTGTAACCTGATTTAGTTCTTGTTAATACAAATTTCTGACATAATACATAGAAATGTTATGTACATTAACGGAGTGTACTTGCTCTTTGTTTTATGATGTAATAAGAATGTCAGATGGCATCCACCTAAATGTATCTCTACTACAGAATTCTAAATTCTATCTGAAGACAATATTGCTCCTATGTTTAACAGTAATTTCTAGAAGCACTACTTACTGTTGGATCAGCTGTTACAGTTTCATTAGCGTACCTTACCAGTTCAAAAAGAATATTTCTCTTGGTGCAATATTATCAATATGATAAAATTATAATTTGCAGTCATGTTTATTGAAACCTTAATACTATCAGAATATGTTCAAATCACTATTAAAAGGTTGTAGAGAGACAACGGGTTTAGAACTTGCTAGAGTGTTTTCACTGACGTTAGTACGGTAATGTGCTGCCGCTACTGACCGTCTTCTTGTTTTCAAACATAATGGAGCATAACCTATACTGAAGATAAAACAACATATGTTTGCTAAGTTTGTTTCATCATTGACTGTCTTGGGTCATTGTTTGGTTATTCACCTGTCAGACAAGCTGGAGGAGAGACTGGTGAGTGAAGGTGTGAAGCCAGATCACAGCACTCCAACACATACTGTCCAAACTACATCAGACAGTACCAACTCTCCAGCAGTTGGGGAGGCCAACAAGCCTCAAAACTCTTCACAACAAACCTCCATTCTGCAATACATGAGGACAAGTTCAAGGTAGGAAGACAACATCCATCCTAACACTCGTACACTTGGAATCATTATGTAGTATTCATCAGCAATATTAGTTGATATGAGTGTCCACCAGTATAAGTATGTGCTCAATATAAGCAATATGGTTGCTTCAGTCAGCATGATCAAACCTAAGACATACAATAGGAACTGTTGTGTAGACCTGTAGACTTTACTCATTGTCTTTCTATATGATGTAATACTTTCAAGATTTACATGTTATTTGTGAGTCAAAGCATTCCACTTCTTCATCTCCAGTGTGTATCATATTTTCGACATTGCAGTGCTGAAGACATGGTTGGATTCACAAGAAGGATGTTCCATGCATTACGACCACGCATATCACTGGGGGTGCCTCTACAGCCCCGCAGGAATCCCCCTCCTCCTCCAATCCGATCTCGCTCTCCATCTCCACCCCCACCTGCTATAGTGACACACCTCATGGAGATGGGATTTTCCCTGCCACATATCAAGCAGGCTCTGGCAGCAACTGGTGTGTGACATTAACTAACCTAATGTTGAGCTTTAATAATCTTTAAGCAATATATATATATAACAATGATTTAAAATAACAAAATATTAATTTGATTGAGGTTAATTACTTACTTTCATCCTGCACACTTTTCAAAATGGTGATTGAAAACTAAATCTGACAATTCTTACAAGTAAGTCAGCTCCAGATTTGTCTGTAGTGTGATGCATATCACTTACGTTCACCCCCCTTCAGCCTGACATTGCCGCGACTATGTTACATACAGGCATCAGTGGTAGAGAAGTCACAGCAAGATCCATCAACAGTCTGGCCACCTGGATGCTGGAAAACCCATCTGAGCTGTCCGCCATCAGTAGTAGAGATACACTAAGACCCTCAGCCACATCTTTGTCAGATGATACAGACATGGTGGCTGACTCAACAAGGTGAGAACTCCAACAGTCACATTCATAGACTGTCATGACATCACTAGTACATGCTGGGCTTGTTTGGCCATGTATCACTCTGTGTAATTTGATTATTGAAGATGAAATCAGGATTCTTCTTCATAGAGATCGTCCTTGGGGTACATATTATGCATTTTCCTGCTGAAAAATGTCCTGTGACAGTTGTATCAATGTTTTTTTGAATAAAAAGATTGAACAATAAATAAACTCTTTTATTTAGTATACGGTCCCTGCCTCACGGAGTTACCTCCCTTAGCGCATGCGCACCAACTGGGTAGGCTCCTAGACCCATATCATCATTCCTTCTGCTGTCACTGCCATGAACAGACGTATGTAATACTTCATGAGCCGGACGCAGCTGAACTTTCTGACGAACCAGAAATTGAATATGTCTCAAACACCACCTGTATGTATGGTCTTTATTTGCTTATGAAAGGAACAGTAAAGCTTTACAGTTGGTTGTTTCATAATTGTGACTTTGTATTAATTCTAATACGCGAACTTTCCCGTGGTTTACGCACGTGTTGCTCTGCCATGGCGGGAAGTTTAGCGTGCCATGTGGTCGTAATATTGAGTATTAAAACCAACTATTACTTTCCGTGGTAACCTTCACGTATTTTTCTAATGTTTTCTACGTGTTTATATGCTGCTGGCCGCTGTTAGCTACATGCTTGCGTGTTTGCTTTCAGGCCTTTTCATCCTGTTCGGTCTGTGGACAAAGTATTCCACGGGCCGACAGGCATGAGCAATGCGTTGCCTGTCTCGAGAAGACGGGACACGATGCGGAATCTTGTCCAATATGTCTTGGGTTTTCCCCCCGGGCCCAAAAGAGGAGGGCGGCAGATACGCTCTTCTACCGGGAGATGCGTGAGGCGGGTGGGGAACTGACGCAGGTCCCCCCGTCTAAGGCTAAAAAGCCGTCAAAAAAGGGAAAAAAATCCCGTGGCCAAACCCCCTCTCCCGCCAGTACTGGTGGCTTTGGCATGTCGATAATGGAAAACTTGTTTCAGCAGCATATGGACTCTGTGAAGTCCCTCGTTCGTGAGTCAGTTGGAGGTCTCCGCCAGGAGTTCCTCGCTCACTCCGGACGGGGGGCGGAGAGTCAGGGGATGGGATCGCCGGGCTCGGCTCGATCCCTCTGCCTGGCCTGCCTCCAGCGTCTCGGGACCGGGGTCCATGCACGCCTGCTGGCGCCGACGTGGAGCAGTCTGTCTGCTCTTCCCTTTCTGTGCTTCCTAGCGTTAGGCAGCCCACCGGGTCGGGGTTAGGGTCCTCTTTCGGAGGAGACCCAGCCTCTGACTCGGGCTCGGGCGCCGAGGCAATGGAGCTTGGGGAGGTTGAGGAGCATGACGGAGGCTTCCGTTTTGCTTCGGCTCTGCGGGAGGTCCGGCAAAGAATTGCCGAGGGCCTACCCCAAGCCGCGGTGCCTGTGGGTTGCGTGGACTCGGCTGAGTTCCGCTTGCCTGGCGAGGCGTTTGCCCCTCGGCAACCCTCGCAGACGCAGCTCCGCATTTTGCCTTCGTTGGTCTCAGACGTGGTTGATCCCCTCTTGTCTGGTGCCCGAGTCCGGTTCGACTTGCCGGATCTCGTGCGGCGCTACCAGCTTGGGGAGGACTCCCTGTTTGTAGTTCCCATCGTTGACGAGTGCGTGTCATGGGGATGCGCAAGCTGTGGCTGTCGACGTCTAGGTACTCGGCAGCGACGCAGCAGACCTTGCTGGCCCTCCCTTTCCGTCTGGGAGCGACCCTCTTTCCAGGGGCCCAGCAGGTCATACGGGAGGCTGCTGCTGCAGCTACCTCCTTCAAGGACTCTAAGGCCTTGTTGGAGCACCCGCGGGTGTCTCGCTCCCGCGCTCCCGTTCCACCTTCCTCCGCCGGGGCGCAGCCTACGCCCGAGTCTGCCGGCTGGCTTCGGCCGCTTGGCAGGGGGTAAGCGGAGGCACAGGTCCGCAAAGGGTAAGGGCAAGGAGCAGTCCTCGACTAGCTCCCAGCCTTTTCGCGGGCGCGGGAGGTCTGCCCCGACCTCCCGTTAACCCATCAGGCTGCCGCTCAAGCCGTGTGTCACACCCAGTCAGCTCCGCTACTAGGGTCCACGCACGCGCTCCTACCCCATATCCCAGTGGGAGGCCGCCTCTCTCTATTCCTGCCGGAATGGGAGAAGGCTACCAACAACGCTTGGGTGCTGGCCACGGTCAGCATAGGCCATTTACCACTGTGGAAGCGAGGTCCGCCCGGCTTCACCTGCATACGTCGCACTCCGGTGCCGTCATGTCAGGCAAGGGCGGACATATTGCGCGACGAAGTCCGCAATCGAGCGCATTCCACCGGGAGAGGAACAGGCAGGATTTTACTCCACGTACTTCCTCGTCCCGAAGAAAGACGGCGGGTTCCGTCCCATTCTCAACCTCAAGGGGTTGAATCGCATGCTAGAAGTACCATCCTTCAAGATGGAGACACTGCGCTCGGTGATCTCATCTGTTCAGCCCGGCGATTGGCTCACGTCAATCGACCTAAAGGATGCGTATCTGCATGTACCAATACATCCATCGTTCAAGCAGTACCTTCGGTTCTCTTCTACGACGGGTGTGTTACCAATTCAGGGTGCTCCCCTTCGCATATCGACTGCCCCAAGGGTGTTCACCAAGCTCATGTTAGTCCCAGCTACCCTAGCTCGTTCGCGCGGAAGGCGTTGTTACCCTTACCTAGACGACTGGTTGCTCGGAGCACTAACTCAGCCAGCGAGTCAAGATGCTACTCACACAGTGATAGACATTCTAACTCGACTGGGGTGGATCATCAACCTCAAGAAATCCGACCTGGTACCCACCCAGGACTTGGTTTTTCTTGGAGCGCGATTCCAAACGAACAAGGATCTCGTTTCCTTTGTCGCCCGACCGGATCACCAGAGTTCGGGAGATGGTATCTTCATTCCTCTCCCAGCCCCAGGCACCAGCACGGACTTGGCTCCGCCTACTGGGCCATATGGCGGCGACGATCTCTGTAGTGTGGCGGGCGCGGTTGAGGATGCGCCCTATACAGCAAGCTTTGGCTGGCTGTGGACTCACACGGAGGATCTGGAGCGCAGTCTCACAGTCCCCGAAAGTGGTTGACACCTCACCTTCAGTGGTGGACCAATGTCGGAATCTCACCAGGGGATCCCCTTGAAATCCTGAGGCCAGCTCTCACAGTTCAGACCGATCGCGCCCTCACGGGCTGGGGGTGTGTTCTGGGCAGTCTGTCGGCATCCGGACTCTGGTCCGAAGCGAAGCCCACCTTCACATCAACGTGTTGGAACTGAGAGCTGTGCGGTTGGTATTCGAAGCGCTTCAGAGAGCATGTCCGTGGCCAGGTAGTCCGTCTTCAGTTGGACAACCAGACGGCCATGTCGTACATCCTGAAGCAGGGAGGCACGGTGTCCCCAGCTCTCCTCCGGGAGGCGTGGGACATTCTCCTCTGGTGCGATCAGTGCGACTGTCAGGTACTCCCTGTTTATCTCCGGGGCTGGAGAACGCGGCGAGCAGATGCGCTCTCGCCGGATCCTGGCCCCGCACGCAGTGGATGCTCGACAGGCAGATTTTCAGAGTAATCTCCCAATTGTACCGGGTCGCTCCAGGTGGATCTGTTTGCGTCCGGCGGGACGCATCAGACACCCGTGTTCTGCTCTCGGATACCGGACCCTGGGGCGTTGGCTGCCGACGCCTTCCTGCTGGATTGGACGGGCAAAGTGCTCTGGGCGTTCCCGCCGTTACCACTCATTCCCCGTGTCCTTTCACAGCTGTCCACCCAGCCAGCTCGGCTACTTGTGCTACTGGCACCGCTTTGGCCGTCACAGAGCTGGTTTCCGTAATTCTCAGGTTTCTGGCTCAGCCTCCTGTTCTATTACCTTTACTGACCGGACATTCTCACTCAGAACGGGCCCACCCAAATCCACGGATTCAGTGGGTGGCTTGGCCTCTGTCAGGTCTAACCTCGAGGCACGCGAATTCCTGCAGCAGTTGCAGACACAATTCTGGCTTCGGCGCGGATTCGACAAACGTTCAGTACGAGGATAGGTGGTCCCGCTATGCGCGCTGGTGTTCAGATAGGGGCATTGCAGATCCCTTTTCTGCGGATTTAGTCCGAGTATTGGAGTTTTTGCAAGCTCGTTTGGAAGAAGGCCTGGCGGCCGACCATTCGTGGGCTACTCCACTGCTATTTCCACTTTTCACACCCCTGTTGATGGTGCTCTTCTGGGGCAGCACCCTCTCGCATAGCAGCTTTCTGGCTGGCGCTGAACGGATTCGACCTGGCGCCAGGCGAACCAGTCCACCTTTGGGATTTGTCAATTGTGCTCGATTGGCTGTCCGTCCAACTTTCTCACACCTATCGGCTATTTCCATTCAGTTGTTAACTTGGAAAGCTGTGTTTTTGGTGGCGGTAACATCTGGACGTAGGGTCGGCGATTTACATGCTATGTCGTCCGACCGGCGCTGACTGTGTTTCACACGGATCGTGTCAGTATTCGCCTCCCAGATACTTTACCGACCGAAGGTCGATCACGCTTCCATGTGACAGCTCCTATCGAACTTCCTACTCTTACCCAGCCTTCCACATCGGGGACCACTCCCACGCAGCACTCACCCGTTGGATGTCCGTGAAGACGCTAAAAGTCTATATCAAACTAACGCAGGGAATCGCACGGGTACCCAGCTGTTCTGTTGTTACGGTGGCGGAAGGCTGGTCTGCCAGCGAGCAAGCAGACTTTGTCTCGCTGGCTAGTTTCGTCGGTATTTGTGCCGCTTATCAGGCTAAGGGCAAGCCTCCCCTGAGGGGTTGAAGGCTCACTCGGTCAGGGCAGTAGCCGCATCAAAAGCTTTTGCATCGCACTCCCCATTGAAGAGATCTGCTCTGCCGCTATTTGGAGCCGGCCAAGCACATTTATACGGGCATTATCAGCTCGACACGCATTCCCGTGAATCGTATGCGAAGCTTTGGCCGTGA